AGAGCCCATGCTCCACAACAACAGAAGCCACCACAAGGAGAAGCCCTTGTTGGACTTCCCTGGTGGTGCAGTGGCTAAGAATCCACCTGCCAATGCAGGGGACACAGGTTCAAGCCCTGGTCTGGGAAGATCCCACATGCTGCAGAGCAACTAAGCCCGTGTGCCACAGCTACTGAGCCTGCGCTCTAGAGCCCACGAGCCACAACTACTGAGCCTCTATGCCACAACTACTGAAGCCTGTGCGCCTAGAGCCCGTGCTCTGCAACAAGAGAAGCCACCACTATGAGAAGCCCACACACTGCAACGAAGAGTAGCCCCTGCTCGCCACAACTAGAGAAAGCCCGCACATAGCAATGAAGATGCAGTGCAGCCAAATAAACAAATAAATAAAATTATTAAATAAATAAAAATAAAAATCTTTAAAAAAAAAGAAGACCGCGCACCACAATGGAGAGTAGCCCCCGCTCACCGCAACTAGAGAAAGCCCATGCACAGCAACAAAGACCCAACACAGCCAAAAATTTTTTTTAAAAAAATGAATTTTTTCATTTGCTTTTTCTGCATCTATTGATATATGACTTTTCTTCTTTAGTCAGCTGATGGGGATTTCAGTAATTGATTTTCAGATGTTGAAGCAGGCTGCACACCTGGAATAAACCCTCCTTGGTTACACTACATAATCTTCTTATGCATTACTGCCTTCAATTTGCTCACATTTTGTCGAGGATTTTTGCATCTATATTCACGAGATGTTGACACGTAGTTCTCCTTTCTCATAATACGCTTACCAGGTTTTTGTATCAGGGAAATGCTGGCCTCATAGAAGGAGTTGGGCAGTGTTCCCTCTGCTTCTATTTTCTGGAAGAGATTGTAGCAAATCGGCATCATTTTTTTTTTTTTTACAGTTTTTATTTATTTATTTATTTTTGGCTACATTGGGTTTTCGTTGCTGCGTGTGGGCTTTCTCTAGTTGTGGCAAGTGGGGGCTACTCTTTATTGCAGTGCGCAGGATTCTCATTGCGGTGGCTTCTCTTGTAGTGGAGCACAGGCTCTAGGTGCACTGGCTTAGTAGTTGTGGCATGCGGGTTCAGTAGTTGTGGCCCGTGGGCTCTAGAGAGCAGGCTCAGTACTTGTGGCACACAGGCCTAGTTGCTCCACGGCATGTGGGATCTTCCCAGACCAGGGCTCGAACCCATGTCCCCTGCATTGGCGGGCGGATTCTTAACCACTGCTCCACCAGAGAAGTCCCCAGCATCATTTCTTTCTTAACTGTTTGACAGAATTCACCAGTGAAACCATCAGTGCCTGGTGCTTTCTTTTGAAGGATGACTAATTAGTGATTCAGTTACTTCAATAGCTACAGGCCTATTCAGATTATCTATTTCTCCTTGTGTGTCTTTTGTTAGTGTTTTTGAACAATTGATCCAATTCATCTTAGTTATCAAATTTGTGGGCACAGAGCTGTTCATAATATTCCTTTGTTATCCTTTCAATACCTATAGGATCAGTACTGATGACCCTTACTTCTTTTCTGATATTAGTAGTTTGTGTCTCTTTCTTTTTCTTGGCTATCAAGGCTAGAGGTTTATCAATTTTATTGATCTTATTAAAGAACCAGATTTCATTTTCACTGATTTTCTCTACCGATTTCCCCCCTTTTAGGGGACACAATGCCATGCACACACTAATCAAAAGAAATCCGGAAGTTAGCCAAATTAGTATCAGACGAAGTAGACTCCAGAGCCAGGGATATTATCAGGAATAAAAAGAAATATTTAAAATGGCAACGGGGCCAATTCATCAAAAAGACAAAAGCAACGCTAAATGTACACGTACCTAATACAGAACTTCAAAGTACATGAAACAAGTGATAAAACAGAAAGGAGAAATTGTCAAATACATCATTAGAGCTGGAAGTTTCCAACATTTCTCTCTCAGCAATTGATAGAACACAGGAACAGAAAATCAGAAAGGTTTTAGAAGATTAGAGCAACGCCATCAACCCACTGGACCTCAGTGACATTTCCTGAACACTTCACCCACAGCAGCAGTTCAAGGAACATGCACCAAGGGAGTCCACATTCTCGGCAACAAATCTCAATACATTTTTAAAAGCACAGAAATCACACAAAGTATGTTCTCTGGGGAATTTCCTGGTGATCCAGTGGTTAGGACTCTGCACTCTCACTGCAGAGGGCCCAGATTCTATCCCTGGTTGGGGAACTAACATCCTATAAGCGGTGTGGCCAAAAAAAACACAAAAAAACAAACAAACAAAAGAAAGTATGTCCTCTGCGCACAACATAATTAAACCTGAAACTAATTTTGGAAACATATCTGGAAAATCCTCAAATATTTGTCAATTAAGACCACATTTCCAAATAAACTATAGGTCTGAGAAGAAATCATAATGGAAATTGAAAACATTTTCAACAGAAAACATATTATAATTTGTGGGATGTAACTAAAGTAGTGCTTAGAGGGAAAATTATAGCCTTAAATTCAGATGCTGTCATCCTTGTCCCTCCATTACACAGTTCCCTACCAACCTCTCACCAATGATTTCAGGAACATTGCTTAGAAGCTTATTTCATAAGGTTTGCAAAATGTTGCTTCTCTAATTTTATTGACCCTTCTGCATGTACTGGCTAGAATTCTTTTTATAAATAAGTGCTTTCCCTCATCAACTATTTGGTTACCTTGAAATGTAAGGGTAAAATAAGAAAGGCAAGACTAATTGTTTTGCTTGAGTCTTTTATCTATTTTCAGAATGAGACAATGCCCCAGCAATATTCACCTGTGATCAACAGGATTTCCAAAAATAGCATTATGAAGAAATGAATTTAAACACATCGATCATATACAGCTTTTTATTCCTTTGGAGGCTCAAACTGTTCCAGTAGGGGGCCTCTTGAAGTTCTCCCCACCCCAAACAACTTATCATAAAAATTTGCCAACATACAGAAATGCTGAAAAGAATTTTCCAGTGAACAGTTATAAACCTACCACCTAGATTTCACAGTCAACGTTTTTCTCTGACCAACACCACCAATACTACTTACTTTCATCAAACTCTTTTCAGTTTAATGTGTATCCTTCTAGGTCTTTTTCTATGTATTTCACATATTTCCTTAATGTATTAGTCAGCTCCAGCTGCCATAACAAAATACCACAGACTGGGAGGCTTAAAACAACACACATTTATTTCTCACAGTTCTGGAGGCCAGAAGTCCAAGATCAAGGTGTTGGCAGGTTTGGTTTCTCCTGAGGCCTCTCTCAAGACATGGGCCGGGGCTACAGCCACCTAAAGACTGGGACTGGAGGACCTGTTTCCATTTCAGATGTCTGGCAACTTGGTGCTGTTGGCCAGGAACCTCAGTTCCTCCACACAGGGGGCCCCTCCACAAGCTTGAGCGTCCTCAGGACATGGTGGCTAGCTTCTTTCAGAGCCAGTGATCCGAGACAGAGAGCCAGGTGGAAGCTTACTGCTTCTCGGACCTACACTTGGAAGTCACATAGCATCACTTCTGCCACATCCTGTTCGTTAGAAATGAGTGATCAAGTGCACCCCCTCTTATGGGGGGCAGGGTATGGCTTCCCTTTTGAAAGGAGTGTTGAAGGATTTATGAACCTATCCCAATGGTACTTTTACCCTCACTTCTGTGATGTTTTGATTCTTGAAAGTTGTTCCCACCACACTGTATGTAATTCTAAGACAGTAAGAATCATAATTCCTTCTGCACCACTGCATCCCTCCCCACACAAGAGCCTCTTACTCTGGCCCTGACATACTCTGAACTTTAATCACAGCACCCCTCAGACTTTGGAGGGTGGAAGAACCGTTGACGGTCTTGGTGCTCTCGCCAGAACACTTGTGAGACGTAATTTGAAAATATACATTTTTTTTTGCATCGTGGGCATTTTTTTGCATCGTGAGCACATTCATAATTTTACCTGCAGAACAGGATATGACAAGTCCCTTCTCTGGGAAACAGCAATGAGTGGCTACTATTTACAACACCTGCATGCTGGAGAAGTCTTCCCTAAGAAATATATAGCTGCCAGACTCAAGTCAGCTGTTTTCAAGCTTTTCTGCGAATATCCACTTCTTTTTTTTTTTTTTAATAAATTTATTTGTTTATTTTTGGCTGTGTTGGGTTTTCGTTTCTGTGCGAGGGCTTTCTCTAGTTGTGGCAAGCAGGGGCCACTCTTCATCGCGGTGCGCGGGCCTCTCACTGTCGCGGCCTCTCTTGTTGCGGAGCACAGGCTCCAGACACATAGGCTCAGTAGTTGTGGCTCACGGGCCCAGTTGCTCCGCGGCATGTGGGATCTTCCCAGACCAGGGCTCAAACCCGTGTCCCCTGCATTGGCAGGGAGATTCTCAACCACTGTGCCACCAGGGAAGCCCAATATCCACTTCTTATTCATTGATTTGTCACCAATAGCACCTTCTAGAAGAAAACGGCTGGCAGAGCCCAACGATCTATGAAAACTGCAGGTGAAGCTAGAAATTAGGAGGATAACTTCGACAGCCAGGAAAATTAGTTTGCCTTTGGGAAGCTGGTCCACGGGCCACGCACATAAAACGGGCTACCCCTCATTTTACAGGTGGGGAATCTGAGGCAGAGAGACCAAGGGGCCTGCCCACAGTTACAAAGGCGAAAGGAAGACGGGGAGAATTCAAACCCAGAGGTAGGCAACCTAAGAACCCTGATTCTTTTCTTTTTTTCCTTTCCACTGTGGTAAAATATACCCAACATTCCATTTACAACTTCAGCCATTTTTCAGTGTAGAGTCCAGAGGCATTAAGTACATTCAAACTGTCGTGCAACCGTCAACCTCTATCCATCTTCCCCAAACGAAACTCTGTCCCCATTAAATCCTAACTCCCATTCCGCCTCCCTCAGCAGCCACCGCGTTCTTTTTTAGAAAGATTAAAGCATTTACACTGAGCGGTGGCCCTCATGCTCGGCAAAAAACAAAATACAAACACAGAATACCTTCCGGACGGAGCAAACCAAAGCCAGAGTCGCTGCGCCCCTGCGGCTCAGATACTGCGACACCGGTGAGCGCGGGCCTCGCCGGCCACGCCGGCCACGCCCTCCCGCGCTGCACCCGTGGCTGGTCACACCCCTCTCCACGCGCCCGCGGTTGGCCCCGCCCCCGCCCCGCCCCCGTGGTCCGCACGCTCGCGCGTCTGGGGGCGGAAGCCCGCGCGGGCCGAACCACGGTACCATCAGAATGGGGAAAGGCGGAATTACAGCCGCCGCGGTGAGCTTGGGCGTAAGTGATTAAAGCACCTCTCATTCATTTTTGTATTGCGCCAGGCAGTCGTCCCTCTAGTAGCCTTAGCCTTCTCTGGCTCTCCAGGAATTCCGTTTGTGTTTTGGAATCGCCCATTCTTTTGCCCAGTCAGTAGACGAGTCTAAAAGCCGACATGTGGGGGGGGAACTTAGTAACGTAAGTTGAAATATTTGGTGAAAGACTAAGATATCCTAACCAAAATAGTTTGTTGAACTTACAGTTTCCTCTAGTATCAATTTTTAAGTAAATGATATTTTCACGCACTTCCGTGTACTGAGATGATTTCTGGTACCTCCCTGCGGCTTCACAAATAGTTTATTCCTTTACCGCGGGGCCCGACGGGAGAAGGAAGGGAGTGGCTGCCATGTTGGAGGAACCATCTGCTACTTTAGGTGGGGTAGCGTCTTTCCCAAACAGTTTGTAGATTGACCGAAGCAAGTGCGGTGATTAGAGTGGAGCACGCACTTGTCACAGGGGCGCTGTCGGAATCGCTGGTGGGCACATTTCTGCCCTGTGAGGTTTTCTGGGCGCTCGGGGCTGCAGCAAAGCGTGGGCGCCCCCCTATCCCCTTGGGCGCCCCGCCGCACGCACATGGCCCGGCGGTAGGCGCGCGGTGCGGCCTGGGAGAGTCGGAAGCGCGACGAGGCCCGGCGAGGCGGCAGCGAAGAGCCATGCAGGACGCGGAGAACGTGGCGGCGCCAGAGGCGGCCGAGCAGCGGGCCGAGATCGGGCAGCAGCAGCCGACCGCCGAGCCGCCGCCGGGGGAGGAGCCGGCGCGGCCCGGCGCGCAGGAGGCGGCGGGCGGCGAGGACGAGGAGGCTGGGCCGGGGCCTGATCTGCCGGCCGAGCCCGTGGCGGACGGGGAGGAGAAGGCCGACGCGACCCACGGCGTGTCCCCGCCGCCGCCCGAGGATCCCCCCACCCCGGCCGCGGGCGAGGCCCCGGCGGGGCAGGCGCGGGACTCTGCGTCCGAGACCGGGTCCGAGGGATCGGGCGGGGAGCCAGGCGGCGCGGCGGAGAACGGCGGCGCGGACGAGCCCTCCTTCAGCGACCCCGAGGACTTCGTGGAGGACGTGAGCGAGGAAGGTGAGGCGGCGGGGCCGGTCTGCGCCGAAGTTCCCGATCCTCGAACGCGGGAGGGGTGCCCGCCCTCTGCCTGTCGCCCCCACGTAGGGAAGGTTTCCGTGAGCGCCTGGATCTTGTTTTCTCCAAAAGAAGAGGAGGGCAGGGTAGAGACAACTTGTGTAACCAGCCATTGGCACTGCAGCTTGGAGTTTGGAGGGTGGTGAAGGCAGACGGCGTGCACGCGGGAGCCGTGGTCGAGTGTGCAGTGGTGTGGCCATTAGGGTCGAGCCGAGCTGGACACTCCATGTGCTGCACGGTCTCGGGTGACAGTTTTTCGTCTGCAGTCTGGGTGCCCCGAGTGACCCGCCAGACTTGTCAGAGGCCTGAGACTGACTCGGTGCCGACTCCTTAGGGGTGGATGGACGCTGTCCCTCGGGAGTGGGGAGAACAGGGTGGCCAAGCTGGGTTCCTTTGCCCCCGCTGTCCCACAGCAGCGTCTACCCCCAGAGAGTTCCTTAGGAGGACAGTTTGAGGCCGGCTCTGCCCGATTCCTGTTTGTGTCTCTCTTTTCCTAAGTCTGTAGGCATACCGTCATCTTTCTGTTGGCAAATAATTTTCTTGAGTTGTAGGATTGATTATCGCTTACTTTGCCTTTCTCTTTGCCTTGGTTCGACTTACGTGCATTATTTCTGCTTTTTGCCTGAGAGAGCCTGGCTCCTAACGTGACTTCTGATGATGGCTGATCTCATTTGTTTTTATGGTTGTTTTTAGCCATTTTGTCTTTCCAGGCTGGGAGCACATAAGTGGATTCCTCTGCATATTGACCACCTTATAATAAAATGGGAAAAATGAATTAGACACCATAGAGGTAGCCAACTATACACCAGGAAGATAAGATGTTACCACTTAAAGTTAGCTTTTTTGGAGATGTGTCTGATCACTCTGAGAATGAGTCAGAATAATAAAGGATATCACCTAAAACGACAAAGAAGGTTTAGAGCACCAACAGAGTTGTTTGACTTTGAAAGATAAATTTATTTTTTAAATTTTTATCAAATGCTTTTGGTTTTTTTTCCTTCCAGTTTTACTGAGGTGTAATTGATGTACAGCACTGTATAAGTTTGAAGTGTACTGCATAATGATTTGACTTATTTGAAACATAATTTTAAAGGGCTACCTGTTATTGTCACTGTTGTCTTTATTTCATGAGACAAAAAACATTTCAGCATGAAAAGCAGGAAAGGCTCCACAAGCTAGTGAGGACTTGGGAGCCACTGATCCAGTCAAAGCCCTTCACCTGTAAGAAAATGTGTTCCTTGTGGAGTAGGTTGCTGGGAATTGACAGAGAGGCTGTGTTTCTGGGCTCACCCCCTTTCCCCTACCCCCCAGCCTAGACCAGTGTTCTTTTCTTACCACACCAATTTATCTTCTACTTTAAAATTTGAGTTTTGATTTTAAAGCCTATTTTGAGCCCTTAGGTGTTTATTCACAACTGATTTTTTTTAAGCATTATTTGAGCACACCTAATTTACACAAGATTTCTAGTACGTGACTTCCGATGTGTGACAGGATACTGACGTGAGCACAGGCCATTCAAGCTAGGTGACTGCTGGGAGGGCCTTTGGAAGCCCCTGTCATCCTGATATTTTGCCAGAGTGACCTGTGAGTCTCCTGGTCCTGAGAAGCAAAGACTGAGCAAGCTGTCAGTTTTCTTGAGGCCAGTAGCTCACATGTGTTTTCTGGTGCGTGAGAACCGCCTGTAGGGCAGGAAAGTGATGCTCAAGGTGCTGGTTCTTTTGAAAATGGGCTGAGTCCCATGACGAGCCCTCCCGTACGTGCCGCAGCCCCAGTGCCGTTGTCTTGCCTCCTTCCTCTTTGAGACAGGTGAACTCTCACACAGTTGCATCTTTTTTTTTTAATTAATTTATTTTGTTTTTGGCTGCGTTGGGTCTTTGTTGCTACACGCGGGCTTTCTCTAGTTGCGGTGTGTGGGCTTCTCATTGCAGTGGCTCCTCTTGTTGCGGAGCACGGGCTCTAGGTGCACAGGCTTCAGTAGTTGTGGCATGTGGGCTCAGTAGTTGTGGTGCACAGGCTTAGTTGCTCCGCAGCATGTGGGATCTTCCCGGACCAGGGCTCCAACCCGTGTCCCCTGCATTGGCAGGCGGATTCTCAACCTCTGCACCACCAGGGAAGCCTGCACAGTTGCACCTTAATCAGTTTAATTTTTCAACTGCCTTTGGTGCTTGGCCAAGCAAATATGTGATAATGGTTTTAACTAAGTGTTTTCTTTGCTACTTAGTCTTGAGAACTGTTTCTTTCTTTATTCCCTGTAGTCAGAGTGGGAACCTGACTGTGTGGGCTGGTAATGATGAAGGAAGTGTGTTTCTTCCTCTGTAGTTACTATGCTTATTCCCTTAAGGGTGTGTGGGTGGGTTCTTCTAAACCAGACACAGTTTGTAGAAAAGCTGAGCTTTTTATGTTTGTAAGTTTGGGTCAGGCGTAACAGGCCTTGTCATTGTTCGGTACGTCAGCTTTAAAAGGAACCCAAGGGTTTGACTTCAGTCTCTGTAGGGAAGATGCGATGACCTAATCTGCCTCTTCTCTTCTTTTTCCTTTTTGCTTGGCCTGAATTTTAGCTTCATTGAAATTTAACTGGCAATTCTTTTATCCAAGGTAACATTTTCAGTATCATTCGTTAAAGGTGTTGAAGTTTAATTAGAGATAGTTTATAACAGGGCTTGCCTCTGGAAATTAAAGGACTTTTTTTCTTTTTTGAAGACCTCTTAACCTTTTTAACACAAAAGTGAAGAAAATTCATCTTAAGTTTTGAAAATGAAGTACAACAAAGAATATTTTCTGACATGTGTCCTGTATAGCATGTTGAAATACTTGAGTATAGTGCAGAAATTAGAGTGATAATTAGGTTCCAGAACACATAGATACCTGAGTAACAAGCCATTGTTCTTCAGCTGTTGTTTAAAAAGTGCCTTGTACACTCATTTTGCCTGTACGGACAGTCCCCACGTTGTGATGGTTTGAATTACAGTGGTATGTAAGTGGGTTTATCAGGAGGTAACCCCACTGTAAGTCAGGAAGGTCTGTACTGCCAGTGTAGTTTCGTGTGATGAGTATGCTTTGATGGCAACCTTAAAGGTGTCTTTCTGTTCTAGCTCCTAACACGGTGCCTTGTAATCTTACAGCTTTCTAGACAAGCTGGCTGACTAACTGGGATTAGGATTCGTACAGAATTTGTGTTAAAAAGAGGAGGATTTGCTTTTTTCATCTGATACTCCATTTACCCTCCGAGAGCCCATCTGCAGCAGCCAGTCCAGCATTTCTGTTGGCGCTGGGGCGTTAGGGTCAAAAGGACTCCAAGCCTGAGACAGGCCTCGGGTAAGATTGCAGCGGGCAGCCCCCAGATGACATTGAATCGCCCGGAAAACAGTAGGCCGCCAGTTGGCTTCGCAGACCTGTTTGCATTGATTCCTCTGTGTTTCTTTTTCCTAGTTCGTTTTACACCTATCTTTTCTTCTTTTTCTCTTACTCTTGCTGACCATTTTATGGAAATGAAGCAATTCTGAGAAGTTTGAACACTTAAGATTTGGGTTCTTTGATCTTAATTTTAAAAGCGGGTGGCATGAACATAATAGGTTTTGAGCTTTGGGCTGAGGTTATGAGAATGAGTTGATGTTGCTTACTGTGTTCCAAGCACCGTTGTAAGCATTTACAACTTAATGTCTGTATGGCTGGTGTCTCCCAGTGACACTGCGAGGTATTTCGTCGAACTGGAGGCAGACGCATCACTGTTGGCTTGCTTCCGTGAGCTTCTCTAGCCTGCAGCCACCTGGTTGAAGTGCCATTCTCAGTCCCGTGTTGTCTGCAAACAAGGCTGTTTTACGGAAAGAATAGAGGGTGATGAGTTTGTTTTGTTGTAAACTGAAGACAGTGCCCGGTGGTGAATTTGTGATAGCGGTGGGTCAGAGAAGGCCATTCCTAGCTCACTTCGGGGTTTCTCTGATTTCTGGTGAAAGGCCATCCTCTTTTTTGCCTTCTTCATTATTAAAACCTCTTTGAAAAAATTCATTTAAAATCTTCCATTATTGCCAGAAGTCAGTTGACATATCTTGACTGTCGGTGGGAGTGTAAAGAGTTACAATATTTCTAATTCTTTCAAGTTTAAATTTTGAGTCAAGCCAGGGCTCTCTGATTTCTTTTGCTCACAGTGAAAGCATTTAGATTATTCACTTTTTGCTTTTTGGAAACTTGTTCAGTGTGCTAACCTAGTGCATTAACTTGGTCAAAAAAAGTCATTCGACAAATCTTTCACTTGTACAGAATTACTGGGAGATGTACTCAAAGATCGGCCACAGGAAGCAGATGGAATCGATTCCGTGATTGTGGTCGACAATGTTCCTCAAGTGGGACCTGACCGTCTGGAGAAACTCAAAAACGTCATCCATAAGATCTTTTCCAAGTTTGGGAAAATCACAAATGATTTTTATCCAGAGGAGGATGGAAGGACAAAAGGGTGAGTCATGTTCTCCAGCACGGAAGTGTCACTTGTGTTTTCTTGGTAGCTGACAGACACTGTGAAGATGGTCGTGTGCTCAGGAGCTCACTGTGAATGCGGGAGCATGGCCTCACTTTGGCACTTTGGTCACATTTATCCAGGCCGCCCACTGCTCTGTGGAGCAGTGATTTTGGTCCTTGGGGTCGTTGGAGGGAGGGAGAAGGAGATGCAGTGTGGTTCTTGAATTAGGTATTATAAGGTGGCTGCTATGCTTTTAAGAAATCAGACCTTGATCTCTTCTTCGTTGAACACTTATTGAGACAATATACATCCTGGGTAAAGGGACCAACAGATCTGAAAGTTGGCGAGATTTCAGGAAAATTTGACATGGTATTTTATTGATTCTAAGATGTGCTTTTGTCCCACATTTATCATCTCTGAAATGGAGATACTTCTTAGAATCTAGGAGACATTGTGTCATTCCGTAGTAACTTTTTTGTGGCATCACCTAAAATATTGTATCTTTTATTTGTTTTTAAATGTATTTATTTATCTTTGGCTGCCTTGGGTCTTCGCTGCTGCGCGCGGGCTTTCTCTAGTTGCAGCAAGCAGGGGCTAATCTTCGTTGCGGTGCGCAGGCTTCTTATTGCGGTGGCTTCTTTTGTTGCATAGCACGGGCTCCAGACATGTGGGCTCAGTAGTTGTGGCACGCGGGCTCAATAGTTGTGGCTCATGGGCTCTAGAGCGCAGGCTCAGTAGTTGTGGCGCACGGGCTTAGCTGCTCCATGGCATGTGGGATCTTCCCGGACCAGGGCTCGAACCCGTGTCCTCCGCATTGGCAGGCGGATTCTTAACCACTGCGCCACCAGGGAAGTCCCTGTATCTTTTAAAAATGGTAGCATGAGGTATGTGTCTTGCAGTTTGCTTTTTAAGTTCAATATTAGGTTTTTTGTGTTGGTAAGTGTAATTCTAGCTTCCTCCTTGTAAATGCTCTGTGCTCTGCCATATCATATGACAGTTGTCTGTTTTCCTATGGATTGACAGTGTTTTGAACAGCGGTTAGGAACAGCCTAGTGTCTGTCCTCTTCTGAGCACAAGAGAGGGTTTGGGCTGCATGAAGTGTCCCTCTTCAGAGCCACTGGCCAATCCCCGATTATGCCTGAGAGTCGCTACCAGTTTACGCTCGACCAGCAGGGATGAGAGTTCTGTTTGTTGCTCCACAAACTTGGCAGACTTTCACCGTTAAAATTTCATAAAAACATCAGCCTCTGGGTACAGGCAAAATTGTCTTTTATGGGACAGGAATGAGAAGGTGGTATAAACTTAATTTTTTTTTATTTCAAATTTTGGAAACTACCTAGAATAGTTTTAATTGCTTAAACAGTTATCACATGCAGGCAGTGCTTCATACTTTTTCTATTTCAGGAACTAGGTGGAAGGATAACCTTTTTTTGAGCAGCTCCTTGTGTTATTTTTGTTACAAGGAAACATTCTCTGAGAGCCTTTGTAATTTTGCCTCTAATACACAGTATTAGACTACGCATGTCTCTTTAAACAGTTTTGTTGAAAGGCACTTGACATACAGTAAAATCGGATAGTTCTAAAGTGTACAATTTCATAAGTTTTGGTGTATGTATACACCCATAAAACCATTACCATAGTCAAGGTAATGAACATTTTGGTTAATTAGCTGTTCTATAATTTCTGATCGTGTACGTCGAGACTTTGGATCTTTGCTAGGATTTTGTTCATGTTTAGAACTGTTCTGCTAGGGATCTGACTGCCTCCGGGACACGGCGGGAAGACAGGTCTCGGATACTCATGGCGGGTGCGAGCCCTGTGGAGGGCTGGGTGTGTTGAGCGTGCCCTGCCTGACCTTCACGTCTGCAACTTGTGCGAGTTGCCCTCTTTCTCGATGCAGGTATATTTTCCTGGAATATGCATCCCCTGCCCACGCTTTGGATGCTGTGAAAAATGCCGATGGCTACAAGCTCGACAAGCAGCACACGTTCAGAGTCAACCTCTTCACCGATTTTGACAAGTGAGTTCTGACTCAGCCCAGGAGAACCTGGGCATTTTCCTGAGCATGAATGGCCAGACGTTTCTGCCCCGGGGGGCAGTGGGTGCTTAGTGGCCTTTTCGGTAGCTGCATTCTCCCGTCAGACCACTGCAGGACCATTTCGCATCCCTGGCCAGTAGCACCCCCTGACCACCAGCGTCCCCTCACCGGTCGTGACCAATCAAAACCTTGTCCTTTCCCTCTGCGGGGAGGGCAGAGGTGCAGTACTGCCGGGGGCTGAGAACCACTCGACCTTGTAATCATCATTGTGTTGCTACCCTTCCAGGTACATGACTATCAGTGATGAATGGGATATTCCAGAGAAGCAACCTTTCAAAGACCTGGTATGTTGTATAAAACCTACACGTAATGGGAAGAAGTGGTGGCTAGCCTCTCGGCTTGAAGTGATGTATTCCTCAGGAGTTAAAGCTGCTGACTGAACTGGTCAAGTCTCTTAAGAGCAACAGTTATGTATTCTTTGGTTAAAATTAATGAAATGTTTTCAATCCCTTGCCTTTGGTTCTGTTTCTAGGGAAACTTACGTTATTGGCTTGAAGAGGCAGAATGCAGAGATCAGTACAGTGTGATATTTGAGAGTGGAGACCGCACTTCCATATTCTGGAATGACGTCAAGGATCCGGTCTCCATTGAAGAGAGAGCGGTGGGTATTTGCTGCCGTGTGGGGACTCACCTCATGTTTCCTTAACAAAGAGGAGTTTGGTGGGAATTCCCTGGCAGACCAGTGGTTAGGACTTGCGCTTTCACTGCCAAGGGCCCGAGTTTGATCCCTGGTCAGGGAACTAAGATCCCGAAAGCCACACGGCAAAAGAAAAGAGGAGCTTGGTATAAGAGCAGGTGAGTGTCACGTGCTTTGAGGTTACGCCTCTGAGAACAACTTCTATTCTTCCAGCTTTGAAAGGCGCCCTAAGAAGTGGATAGGCTTCTTGTGTTTTCAGCTAAAAGCTTGAGGAGTACATTTGTTGTGGACTTTGGACTCTGTGCTCGGCGTTTTGTTGTGTTAACATTGGCACTGATTCTTTCCACAGAGATGGACAGAGACGTATGTGCGTTGGTCTCCTAAGGGCACCTACCTGGCGACCTTTCATCAGCGAGGCATTGCTCTTTGGGGGGGAGAGAAATTCAAACAAATTCAGAGATTCAGCCACCAAGGGGTTCAGCTTATTGACTTCTCACCTTGTGAAAGGTAAGCTGTTCGAAAATTGCAAATGGAGTCGTGCCAGGCTTCTATGGGTAATTTTTTCAAGCTTTATTCTGCAGTAATTTTAAAGTTAAAATAGAAACATTATAGGAAGAGTGCAGAGGACTCCCGTGTGCTCTTGACCACGATTCTCCAGTTAGTATTTTGTTTCCTTTCTCCACACATCTGCATAAACTACATCATCTTGCATAAGGGACTTGTGTATCTGCTGACTTTGGTATCGACCGCGGGGGGGCCTGGAACCAGTCCCCTGTGGATACTGCACGTGACCATCTGTTCTCTTTACCTTGTTGTCTTAATTAAAATCCAAGGAAGAGAAAGTATGAGAATTCCACATCTCTCATTCCGCTCGTGCACACAGCCGACTTTTGTTTGGAATCTGTTGGATCATTCCTTGTCCTGGTTTTATCAGGGAAACTTTTTTTTAACACCTTTATTGGAGTATAATTGCTTTACTCAGGGAAGCATTTTGAGGTGACCCTTGGAGCACCCTGGTGCCGAGCGGGATGAATCGTCTGTGCCACAGTGGCTCTGCTCCGTATTTCGAGCGGGGTCTCCAGGCGGGAGGACAGGGTCGGGGGAGCCTGGGGTTGGAGGAAGTGCTGCTTCCACGGGTCTCGGCTGCTGTTCTGGCGGCCTCGCTTGTGCCTGGAGAGTCTCCTTCTGGAGCGGAGGCGTGGACAGGTCCTCGCCACACCCACACAGCTGTGACCTTCACATGAGAGGACGTGGAAGCGTGCAGGAGATGAGTAGGTGTCCCCTCTGTTGCAGGTACCTGGTGACTTTTAGCCCCCTCATGGACACTCAGGATGACCCTCAGGCCATCATCATCTGGGACATCCTTACCGGGCAGAAGAAGAGAGGTTTTCACTGTGAAAGCTCAGCCCATTGGCCTATTTTTAAGTAAGTGGACCCGTGGCAGCCAGTGGTGACCTCTTTGCGGCCTTTTCTTCGTCGATGAGTCTGGCACTGTTCTTCTTTGTAGGTGGAGCCATGATGGTAAATTCTTTGCCAGAATGACACTCGATACTCTCAGTATCTATGAAACTCCTGTAAGTGATTTATTTGATTATCTGAAAGTGAGCTGCCCCGTCAGTTGCTTGTCAGCTCCAGTAGCTTCTCGAGGACGCAGTGCTTTCCCTTAATTTGTGGTGCAGCCAGAAGGGAGAGAGACTAGTTCTGTGCCTTTCAGTTGCTCGGGTCCTGGATTTGGGTCTTGAGTCTGCCAGCCCCCGCTTCTGCTGCCGCAGGGGGTTAAGAATGGGAGCTGGTGAAATGGGCTCTGGAAATGTGTACTTTGTTGCTGTGCGTGAATTGTTCCATTGTGATCTGCCACCCTCTGCTTCCACTGCTCCCTCGGCAAGCTCACATTGTAAAAGGTTGTGTGAACCACTGAGACATTGGCATGGTTTAACTCCATTGTAACCTTGTTTTTCCACAGTCTATGGGTCTTTTGGACAAGAAGAGCTTGAAGATCTCTGGCATAAAGTAAGCGAATCTCTTGGCACGTGGCTTTTGCCTCCCTCCTCCAGCGCTCGGCCCCTGCACAGTTGCAGAGAACGCTGGTGCTTTGTCACCCGAGCGCCAGGGGGTCACGGCAGGCTTGCGCCTGCCGCCGCGCACTGTGTGTTGGCGGCCCCCGTCAGCATTCCCCGTTCCTGCACGTAGGGGCATCTTGAGGGCCTGCTTCCTTTCGTGGTTCTGCCTCGGAACCAGAGACTTGGGGGCGCAGTCTTTGAGGAAGAGGGGTCTCCACTTAGTTGAAAGTCTCTGTGTCTCTCTGGTGATCTGTGCCATGGGGTTTGCGTGGCCTCAGTGAACTGCAGCTGGTTTTCTCTGTCAATGAGGAGGCACGTTTTTTTTGTTGTTGTTGTTGTTGTTGTTTTTGCGGTACGCGGGCCTCTCACTGTTGTGGCCTCTCCCGTTGCGGAGCACAGGCTCCGGACGCGCAGGCTCAGCGGCCATGGCTCACGGGCCCAGCCGCTCCGTGGCACGTGGGATCTTCCCGGACCGGGGCACGAACCCGTGTCCCCTGCATCGGCAGGCGGACTCCCAACCACTGCGCCACCAGGGAAGTCCTGGAGGCACGTTTTTATTTACCTGAAATCTCTGGGGGCAGTGAAGTATCAGCAGTGCAAGGACATTCACGCTTCTTATTATTTTTATGTACATTCTTGGGCAAAACGATGGCTTCTAATTAAAAGTAAAACTGGGAATTAATTCTCAGTAAAATGCAAAAGTAAAGGTACTCTTCACAGATAGGAACTCATGGATTGTTCGTTACAGCACTTTTTAGGGTAATTTTTGCAGTAGAGAGAATTGCACTAATTCTTCTCTAATCCTCTTATATTTTTTGATTTGGGGTTTTCCCCCTTTAGCCCCTTAACGAATCTTCAGAAATCATGTAGCTGGGTCCATCAGCCTAAAGTTTATTTTACTTGCCTTGCAGTTAAGAGTTTGAGTGGGGTTTCAGAGCTTGGGGATTGAGTCTTGTGACCCCTGTGCGACAGTGCGTGGTATTATCAGCACCTCTCTCTCTCCTCGACGGTACAGTGTGTCTGGCAAAGCCCCCGAGTTGTTCTGCGGACGGAGCCCATGCTAGTGAGCGCTCAGTGAGCGCTGGCTGCTACTAGTGTTCTTGGGGTACATGCGCCACCGCTGAGGTTTTACACAGAGAATGAGGTCTCTTGTTCTCTGCTCTCATCATTTCTTAGCCAGTCCTTGTAAGCATTTCATTTTCTTTGTTCTGCAGAGACTTCTCCTGGTCTCCCGGTGGTAACATAATAGCCTTTTGGGTGCCTGAAGATAAGGATATTCCAGCCAGGGTAACGCTGATGCAGCTCCCTACCAGACAAGAGATCAGAGTTAGGAATCTGTTTAATGTTGTGGACTGCAAGCTACATTGGCAGAAAAATGGAGACTACTTGTGTGTTAAAGTAGATAGGACTCCAAAAGGTACCCAGGTAAGTGGATGCCAGTGGGCAGGGGTCATTCCTTCTGCAGCTCGGTTCTGTTCGGGGGGTGTTAATGGATTTTTTGGTTCAAACTCATGACTTATTTTCGCACCCACCTAACCCTGAAAGTTAGCTGGTGTGCCATAGCTAGAGGCGTTGTCGTATTCCAGCTGAGGGGCGTAATGTCTTCCTGTAAAACTTTGAGCGGGCGATAACGTTCATGTGGTTTAGGGTTGACGTAGGTTAGCGTTCACAGGAGAGCACAGGGAAATCCTAGGCACCCACCTTCCTTCACTGAAGGAGTTAAAATGAGTAGGTTGTTTTCTTTTAGATTTTCTCTTTAAACACAGGGTAGCATGCTTGACAGTTCTGTATCCACACTTTCTGTTGGTTTGCATCAGTTAATATTGAACTTATCCAAAAAATTGCGTGGTTTTTTCCCTTCTAATGGAAATATTCCTCTTCCTTTTACCAAAAAAAAGTTCTTTTAAGTGTACAGTTACTGGATTTTATTGCATTCACACAGTTGTACAGGTTACCGCTGTCTTAACTCCAGAACCTTTCCATCGCCCCCAGAAGGAACTCCACGCCCATGCGCAGTCACCGCCATTCCTGACATCCTCTGATCTGCTTTCTCGCTTCCTGTCTCTGGATTTCCCTGTTGTGGACATTTCATGTGAATGGAGCCGTACACTCTATGGCCTTTTGTATCTGGCTTCCTTCACTAAACGTTTGTTCAAGGCTCATCCAGGTTGTGCCATGTGCCCGTCCCTCATTACATTTGTGGCTGAGCAGCGGCCGTTGAATCGTATCGTGTTTGTCCATTTAGCTGTTGATGGACACTTGGGTAGTTTCCACCTTTTGGCTGTTGTGAATAACACAGCACCCACTTTTTACATGAGTGCATCTTGAAACGCGCTGCAGGATGTTCTGCTGTTTTGAAATAGTTGGATCAGTGCTAGTCAGTGGACCTTTATGGCACTACAGCTGCGATGTGTATTCTTGGACCTATCTGTGCTTGAGATGACCTTTAGGGCAGGTCTTGAATAGAATCTGGGTTGGGGGTGGTGGGATCCGTTAGCTCTCCAGAGACTGTACCAGTTTCTACCTCCATCAGCTTTTTTTTTTTTTTTTAAATAAATTTATTTATTTAGGCTGCGTTGGGTCTTCATTGCTGTGCACAGGCTTTCTCTAGTTGTGGCAAGCGGGGGCTACTCTTTGTTGCGGTGCGCGGGCTTCTCATTGCGGTGGCTTCTCTTGTTGCGGAGCACAGGCTCTAGAAACGTGGGCTTTAGTAGTTGCGGCACGCGGGCTCAGTAGTTGTGGCTCACGGGTTCCAGAGCACAGGCTCAGTAGTTGTGGTGCACGGGCTTAGTTGCTCCGCGGCATGTGGGATCTTCCCGGACCGGGGCTCGAACCTGTGTCCCCTGCATTGGCAGGCGGATTCTTAACCACTGTGCCACCAGGGAAGTCCCCCTCCATCAGCTTTTGAGAGTTCTTGTTTCATCATTTTAATCACTACAGCTAGTCATATGTCTTTACCAGGTGTATATGTTTAATCTTTCATTAAATTCTTAAATTGTCCTGTCTTCCTCATGCTTTCAGTTTCCAGAATGTTACCCCTTTCCTTTTCTTTTTTTTACACAGGGTGTTGTCACAAATTTTGAAATTTTCCGAATGAGAGAAAAACAGGTGCCTGTCGATGTGGTCGAAATGAAAGGCAAGTCCCATTGTCATTGTCCTGTGGTTGAGTTCACCTGTGTGCTGTCACACGTACCCTTAAAGCTTCTGTGTAAATTCATGGCCCAGGTAGAATGGCCGAGACTCGGAACCCTGATTCACAGTGAACAGCACCTGGCTCTAAGTTACAAAACATGCATGTGTTTAGGGTGTTGTCCTTTCCAACTTCAGTCTCTTAGCTTTTTCAGTTGCCAAGTGAAGTGATGCCTCCTGTTTCTCCACACCACGCGATCTGCTTATATAGCAGAGGAACGGGGGTTCTCACCATTTTCCACACTTGGGAGAGAGTGTGAAGGGCAGGCTTTCATCACATGCCCAGTGACGGCAGCCGAAGGACTTCTGCTCTTACGTGTGAAAGTTCTCAGTTTAATAGAGGTGTTTTGTTTTTTTGGTGGGTTTATTTGGACTCATGGAAACTTCAGATGCTGTGTTTCTGTCTTTAGGTGGAAAATTTAGGCTGTATTTTCTGTTTTGCTGGGGAGAGGAGGAGGGGAAGGGGGTGAAGTGGCCGCGCTGCCTGGGTAGAGAGGCGCGTGAGCCCTTGCGCCCAGGGCCGCGGCGAGGAGTGTGGGGAGGGTTTGTCCACAGGCTGCAGCGCACCTGACCTGCCCCTCCCCGCCCCTGCGGCAGGACGGGGCGGGGCGCAGGGTGCTGTCCCTGCTGGCCGGGTGGCTCCACACAGGTGCAGCGCGCTGCCTTTGCTTCTGTGCTGCTCTCTGGTCCTTTGAATGAATTTAAGAATTTGGGGCATTTCTCTGGTTGAATAACTTTAACTGGTCAAGAATGTTCTGTTCCTAAGTGACCAAAAGGAGCTCACCCTTCTTCCCCGTCTTAGAAACCATCATAGCCTTCGCCTGGGAGCCGAACGGGAGTAAGTTTGCTGTGCTGCATGGGGAAGCTCCTCGGATATCAGTGTCTTTCTACCACGTGAAGAACAATGGCAAGATTGAGCTCATCAGTAAGTAGGTGGCTTGCGCCCGACTCTCAGGACAGAGCTCGGTCGTCGCTCCGCGCAGAGCGCTCGGTGGGACAGGTGCGGAGGGTCACGTGGGCCGGTGGCGGTGGTGATGGCCCCAGAGGGAGTTTGTTGCAAAGGATGGGCCTTCTCTGCACTCCCGCGGGGCCCTTGTACTTCACTGTTCCGAAGTCCTGTCCTCTCCTCTTGTGGCTGCAGCTGCCCGCTCTGGGCTTGGGGTCACATGCCCGCCCTCGGTCTCCACCTGGAAGCCCTGTCCCCCCTCAGGACAGGCTCCTCGCCCAGCCTGGACACCACCGGGGCTCCCCGCTCCTTGCTCTCCTGTCCTGCGTCCTTAGTGCCGAACACAAGGCGGGTGCTCGTTCGCTGCTTCAGCGTTTCTCTTTGTGAGGACTGAGGTGGGAGACCTCTTGCACCCACCTCAAGGGTGAGGCGCCCTCAGGGTGTGCTCGCCCCACGCTCCCCGAACCTCACCCAGGGCTTCTTGCCACGAAGGCAGGGGGGTCATCCCAGTACCTGACGGGGACTCCTGTGCCCTGGGAAGAGCTCTTCCTGAGAGGTTTCTCAGGTTCACTTCCTGAAGTTTAGCAGTATTTGTGGTAGAATCATTTCGTGGTGTTATCAGTTGGCCGTCTATCACAGAATTGACTGTTACTAATTCCCTTCGTTATGAAAGGAAGTAGAGGCAGCTGAAGACTTCATGGTCGCTCGTTACCAAGTAGGTTATAAAAGAGCAAGTACACGAGTGCCTCTGCCTTCCGAGTGCCCCGCTCCCCTGCCCCCCGAAGGGTCCGTGTCGGGGTCGTCGCACGCACTTCCCGGCCTCCTCGTGGTGGGGACTGTAGAGCACATCTGCCAACAGCGTTCTCTTTGCTTTGTCTTGGTCCGAGAGTCGTGCCGCCCCCGCTCAGGGTGATGCTGCCTCACCCCCCTCCGCGCCCTGCTCCTTCCTCCTGAGTGAAGAGACCCCCAGGGCGAGGACCTGGCTCTAGCCCTTCAGGAAGTGAGTGGTTTGGAGAGATGATGGAGTTGAATAGCTTGTTAGTTAGAAAGGCGTGTGAGTCACTAGAGGAGTGGATTTTAGGCTTTTCGGGGTCGCACGGGTCGCACGCCTCTTTGAGAATCTGGTGAAAACTGGATTCCTCACCCTGGTGTTGAGTCCCTGTAATCACAGTAACCGTAAGTGGAGTCTTCCGTCCAGGTACCTTGTCAGGTACGTTGACAGGGACGTTGTCAGGTACCTTGTCAGGTACGTTGTCAGGGACATTGTCAGGGACCTTGTCAGGTACGTTGTCAGGGACATTGTCAGGGACCTTGTCAGGGACGTTGTCAGGTACCTTGTCAGGTACGTTGTCAGGTACCTTGTCAGGGACGTCGTCAGGGACCTTGTCAGGGACGTCGTCAGGTACCTTGTCAGGGACATTGTCAGGGACCTTGTCAGGGACATTGTCAGGTACGTTGTCAGGTACATTGTCAGGGACCTTGTCAGGGACGTTGTCAGGTACATTGTCAGGGACCTTGTCAGGGACGTTGTCAGGCACGTTGTCAGGGACATTGTCAGGTACGTTGTCAGGGACCTTGTCAGGTACGTTGTCAGGGACATTGTCAGGTACTTTGTCAGGGACATTGTCAGGCACCTTGTCAGGGACATTGTCAGGTACATTGTCAGGGACATTGTCAGGTACATTGTCAGGGACATTGTCAGGTACCTTGTCAGGGACATTGTCAGGTACGTCGTCAGGGACATTGTCAGGTACCTTGTCAGGGACATTGTCAGGCACCTTGTCAGGGACATTGTCAGGTACATTGTCAGGGACATTGTCAGGTACATTGTCAGGGACATTGTCAGGTACCTTGTCAGGGACATTGTCAGGTACGTTGTCAGGGACATTGTCAGGTACCTTGTCAGGGACATTGTCAGGGACATTGTCAGGTACCTTGTCAGGTACCTTGTCAGGGACGTTGTCAGGGACATTGTCAGGTACCTTGTCAGGCACATTGTCAGGGACATTGTCAGGACCTTGTCAGGGACATTGTCAGGTACCTTGTCAGGGACATTGTCAGGGACATTGTCAGGTACCCTGTCAGGGATATTGTCAGGGACATTGTCAGGTACCTTGTCAGGTACCTTGTCAGGTACATTGTCAGGTACGTTGTTTTGAACGGAAAATGTCATTTAAGATAGTATTGTAGCTTCAGAATCCCCCCCGCCTCTTCTTTTTTTTTTTTTTTAACTGGGTCATAATTTGAGGTGTACTGAAGGTGATTTTCTGACCTGTTTTCACAGGTAGCCAACAGGTGTGGTACCTCCGTAGAGTTGTGGTGTATACACCCGTGGGGGGCAGCGAGAGCCCACTGCCGGTCCTCCCCTCTGCTGCAGGCTGACCTCTGACACTTTCTTTCCTTTCAGAGATGTTTGATAAACAGCAGGCCAACACCATCTTCTGGAGCCCCCAAGGGCAGTTCGTTGTGTTGGCTGGTCTGCGGAGGTGGGTTTCTGTCTGATGCGGTGGGCTTTGGTGTGGGCTGTGCAGAGACCCTGGCCCCGGGCCCTCACCCTGGTTCTGAAGGTAGCGATGCTGGCTCTGCGCAGATGCGGTGGACGGGTTCTCCCACAAAAGGGTCGGCCCGTTTGGGTGAAGCGTTGTATGGCGTCTCCATCCTGCTCCCCAGACGCAGGCCAAGACCAGGCAGATTAAAACGGCCTGGCCACAGGCGCTTTCGCCGCGGGCCTGGAGGACAGGTCTGCGTGGTTACGCAGGACCTCTTGCTGGCGATCCCGTTACCATGTTGTAAGGTCCGTGTCTCCTTGTAGGCAGGATGTTCAGTCAGGCCGTGAGCCCATCTTGTCCTCTGGTTGGTGTGACCACGAGGACCTGGGCGTTACCCTCGCCCGCTCCCCCCTTAGTTGCTGTTTTCAGCAGGACGTGTGCAGTGCTGCCTCCGAGCGGCAGGACACCCCGTCTCAGCATAGGTGCTTCTTGCTGTGGCTTTGGAGGCTTGGCCTCAGACAGCCTTCCCTCTGAGAATAATCACAGACACTACGGTGCTCGTGTGCCCTGTACATCTTCAGTCACAACATCCTTACGAGGTCATCGCTGTGATTATTTCCACGTCGGTGATGAGGTGGTAGTTAGGGGACCCCGGGCTCCCGAGTCTGGCCTGTACCCTCACCCTGGAGCCGGGGGCGGGCACACACACGGCTCCTGCAGAAGGCCCACCGCTGTCTGTTCCCCAGTATGAACGGCGCCTTGGCCTTCGTTGACACTTCGGACTGTACGGTCATGAATATCGCGGAGCACTACATGGCCTCCGACGTTGAGTGGGATCCGACTGGGCGCTATGTCATCACCTCCGTGTCCTGGTGGAGCCACAAGGTACGGGGACACGGGGAGCCTCGGTGCCACGTGGACCGGGCTGTGGGGAGCCCTCTTCGCCGTGGGGGAGTGCACAGAGCGTGGCATCGCATCACCTCCCCGTCTGCGTCTCATCCCGGCGGGCGATGCGGTTGATCCACTTGAGCTCCCGGCCCGGCCCAGGCCGCCCAGAATCCCTCTCCCCAGAGCCCCGAGGGCAGCCAGCCTTCTCCACGAACAGGGCAGCATTGTTCCGTCTCTCTTCCTACGTTAGAGCGCGTCTTAGTCGCTCCAGTCGGAGCCGGGCCGCCCACACCTGCCGCTGCAGCCAGAGGGCTTGTGAGTGGGAGTCAGTGGTACCGCTTCCCGGCCCAGTTAGCGCCCACCCACTGCACTGCGGGACTAAACCAGCTGCTCACTGTGCGGCTCCCCGGGGGAGGGTGGGTCTCTTTTGGTTTGCACGTGTTTTCCCAGCACAGTATTTCCCTCTTGAGGGGTTCCTGCTTCGGACCGTCAGTACTTGGTCACCCAGCCCGTTAGGTCCTCTGTGCAGCGGCCTCTGACGGCACAGCCTTTGGCTGTGCGCGTTTCCCGAGTGGAGGCCACGCTGACCCCAAGCGCCCGTGCTCGCTCCCGCCTCGTGGCCTTTGCATGTGTCCCCTCCCTGGAATGTCAGTTCACGTAGGTGCTGTGCTTCCTGCCATTCAGGTGTCACCAAGTGTGCATCCACAGAGGCTCCCCTCCCCACTTGGTCCCCGCGTCCTCTCACCCCGCTGTACGTTTTCATGGTGCTCAATGACATGCGCTCACCTTAGCCGTTGTTACGAGTTCCTTGTCCCCTTTTCCCGCTGGCATGGAACTTTGCAAGGACAAGGGCCTTTTCTCCTGTTCTGAGCTGTGTTCCCAGCACCTGAACCTGCTCAGCCTTCAGTCAGGATTTGCTGTCTGAATTGGGCTGTGAGAAAACGTTTGCCGTTTCTGTTTTTAACTTCTTGAAAAGATCATCATCTCTGTCGTTAGCAAAAGATTTGAGGATGTGTCAGTGGAGGTAGAAACAGGATTCTGTGATCGCAGGAGCAGGTGTGGTACCGCCAGTGAGCGGGCTTCTCGGCCTGGGGCCTCCCTGAAAGGGCATGAAGCTGTGTCTGTGCACGGGCACTTTTCTGGGGAGAGGACCCATTTCCTCTTGGGTCTCAGAAGAGATCCATAGCCTGAGGTTTGTGGGGCTCAGAATTGGTGTCCGTACAGATCACGCTCTGTAGCGTCTGGTTCACACGTTCAGTGTTCTCACGCTGGTGGTTAAACTTGCTGAGGACTCTGCCTTGTCTCTACTGACTGTTGTTATTGATTGAGGTATTGACAGTTGAAGCAGCTTGTGCATGTTTACAGACCAATTAGGGCAATTCTGTTTAACGAAGTGATGAAGTTTTAGGAACACGGGCTTTGCAAATGTCACTGGAAACAGTGTCTTGAGTAATAATCCTTGCGTTCGGATCAGGATATGTTGACCATGCCCGTGTCTAGTTTGTTCAGAGGCCGCCTCAGTGAGGCCTACCCTGACACTTTACAAACCTTTTAGACGGCTGACCACGCGGTGTTAACTGCTCCCCGAGTGCTGGTCCGCAGCGGGAGTTCACCAGAGCGTAGGTTGTGGCACTGCTTCCTTTATCCGGCGGAACCGTGTTTGGTGACGTGGTTGATTTCTGCTCTGTCAGCCCTGTTCCTAGCTGCTGCGCACGCTGCACTGTCCAGTCAGGTGCATGAGGTTAGGTGTCTCCCAAATGCCAACGACGTTGTTTGGCAAATTATTGGCTCCCGAACAGTTGTTGAACGTAATGGTTAATTTTGTCACTTCTGTCAGCACTAAGGATTCCAGGGCCTCTGCCTCCTGGTGTAACGTGGTGCAGGGGGCAGCTCAGCGGGGCCTCTGCTCTCTTCCAGGTGGACAATGCCTATTGGCTGTGGACTTTCCAAGGCCGCCTTCTGCAGAAGAACAGCAAAGACCGCTTCTGCCAGCTGCTGTGGAGGCCTCGGCCCCCGACCCTCCTGAGCCAGGACCAGGTCAAGGTCTGGTCGTGTCTTCGTCAGGTGTAGGCACGTGGGGGCGACGGACGCTGAAAGAAGCACCTGCTGCTTCCTGTTACCGTTAGGGTGATAACGAGTGAGGAGTAGAAACGTGACATTTAAGGGGGACCCTGTGAAGAGACGCAGAACGACTCAAGAACCAAAAGGAAAAGAGTAGCTTCAGAGCGGAAACAGATTTTCAGGTTAAGGCCACGTCGGTACCGTTCCAGGGAGTTCGCACAAACTGGGGCGGGATGAGAAAGGTGGCAGGGGCAATTAAAAAGTCCTGCTGGGATTTACATAGTGATGGAGAAACACGCTGATGGTATCAGGACAGAGCTGAGGGAGCGTGTAAATCCCAGGGAAGGAGGACAGGCCACTGACGTACGGACGCTGCGTTTGAGCACTCTCAGAGGCCATGCTTTGCTCATCATTGAGGAGGTCGTTCCACGTTGGCAGCTCTGAGGATTACATTTGTGGTCCTTGCTTTGAATGTGTAAATCCTGAGTGACTTGTCTTTGTTTCAGCAAATTAAAAAGGATCTGAAGAAATACTCCAAGATCTTTGAACAGAAGGACCGTTTGAGCCAATCCAAAGCCTCAAAGGTTAGCCTTGTCCCCAGGCCTGAGGGAGGTGCCAAGGACCATCCCCTCATGGCAGAGAAGCCCGGCGCCAGGCCACGGGGACAGACTGGCGGGGGCGGCTCTGTGCCGCCGGGGCCCACCTGTGGCCCTCGGGTGGCTGGCGTTTCAGACACGGAAGGCGGGTGGTACGGGCCACGCTAGAGGCAGAAGGCGGCGAGCACAGGTCCCACCTTTCCTGCCCCCGGAGTGTGTGTAGAGTCCTTATGTCACCCCGTCAGGTGGGCCTACCGCTGACCGTGTTTTCACTTCCATTTGGGTTGAGCAAAGTTACGACAGTGATGCGAGTTGTTAGTTGTGTAAGTTCTCCACAACGCTACCCACAGGAATTAGTGGAGAGAAGACGGACCATGATGGAAGATTTCCGAAAATACCGGAAAATGGCTCAAGAACTCTATATGGAGCAGAAAAACGCACGGCTAGAATTGCGAGGAGGTAACTTTGTTAGCCAAAGATACACTCTTCAAAGCGTATGGTTAAAGTGTTTTTCCTTTTTTTCATCTTAATTTCCCAGAGTTTTCAGAAAACGTCATGTGCTGTCTAAAGATTCTTAAAAAGAGTCTTTCAAAGAAGACGGTGGCTTGCGGTATCTTAGTTCCCTGCCCAGGGGTTGAACCCAGGCCCTGGCAGTGAGGGCACCGAGTCCTGAACACTGGACGCCAGGGAATTCTCTCTTTAAAAGTATCTTAAAGGGAATCTTTAAAAGACTCTTGAAAAGAACTGAGAGGTTCTTGCTGCCTGCAGGTCAAGGCCATAGTCCTTTCTTTGCAGGGGACCTTGCTGTGTTCACATCGGCCTCTTGGCGGGTGCAGGACGCGCGCGCGTATGTGTGTGTGTGTGAATGTGTTTCACAACTTTTCGCCCCACATCTGCACACGGTGTGACACACGCACCCCCGCTGCCCCCTGCAGGTGTGGACACTGACGAGCTGGACAGCAACGTGGACGACTGGGAGGAGGAGACCATCGAGTTTTTTGTCACCGAAGAAATTATTCCTCTTGGAAACCAGGAGTGATCCGGGAGCACTGTGGTGAGCCTTGAGACGGGGAGCACACGGTGTCCTGTTTGCGCTTCCTTCCTGTTCTGCTCTCCCGCAAGTCAGAAGGCAGCTCATGTAAGGCGCTGAGTGAAGCGCAGTTGCCGGTACTCAAGGTTAGCCACGTCCTTGCCTGTGAGCTGTGAGGGGTCCAGTGCAGACCCTGGGTGTCCGGAGCCTTGCACCTGAGAGCTCTGGGCCTCAGGCTCCCGTAAAATCCAGCAGGCCTTGGCCATGGGTGAGAGGAGGGCTGGGGCAGGCACTGGTGGTTGATGCCTAGGGAAGAGGAGGGGCTTTGCTGGGCGAAGGCCTCAGGGTGTCCAGCAGAAAGGTGGGCCTCACCAGCCGCAGCACCCGTTCTGGTCCGTCCCTGGTTGGTCTGAGACAGGAGCCTCCAAAACCCCGTCAGGTGCAGCCGGAACGCAGGCTTCAATAACAGAGAAAAGACGTGGCGGCTCTGGACCTCAGAGCGGACGTGTGTGGGGGGAGAGGAGGTCCGGGGCTCCGTGTGCCTCGGTGTCCGGCCGTGCTGCCTCCGCGGCGGGGAGAGCAGGGCCGGGGGCTCCGCGTCCAGGCTGCTGCTCGTCTGCAGGCGCCGGGCCGGCGTGGTCCCTCCTGCTTCCTAAGGACGTGTGCCGTGCGCTCACCACGCGTGCTCGCCTGGGGCCGAGGCCGCCGCTGACCACCTGATGTAGTTCCCTTCTTACAGGACAGCGAGCGGACGGTGTCCCCTTGTTGCAGCGTCACCGTGTGTTGTGCTGGAACCGAGGTCATCCTTTTGCGGAAAGCCTGCCCACTCCTGACTTTTCACCTGCGCTTTCTCTCGCCCGGGCTGTGGCCACGCCTGGGACTCGCCGTCTCCACACGTCGCTGTGCCTTTCAGCCCCTGGTACCCAGGGTGGGGGAGGTTTGCCGGCGCTGCTCTCAGTTTTCTCTCGCTGGGTTTCTAATCGCACCGAAGACTGGGCCCTGCCTCACATGGCCAGCGCCGTCCACAGCTGCGCAGGGTCCCTCCAGGGCTCCCTGGCCGCCAGCAGGGAAGCCGCTTGGGGCACCAGCGCGTCCCCCGCCATTCAGGTTGTGACAGGTTCTCTCAACAGGCTGAACGTGGAAATAAAAGCAAACCTGTATGAAAAAGCTGTCTTTCTCCTGTCTTTGAACGTAGATAGCGGCCTTGACCTTCATGCTTCTCCCGTCTGCCACAGTAGCAGGTGCCGCTGGGCTCGAGAGGCAAGGCGGGGCCGTCCGCCTCCCTCGCGCTGTCCTTCTGCTCTGCAGCTGAGCTTTGAAAAGCGATGCGTCAGCCCAAACACAGTTTCTTCTTTTTCAATTTTTTGTTTCCTGTGCTTGTGGTTCACCTGATGAGAAAGAACCCTTTAGCCTTTTCCTCAGCTACACAGGTTTGAAGACTTCCATGGACAGTTGTCACTTTAGCCACTAGTACGTGGTCCTGTTTGAGTATCTAACTCTTTCCCCCGCGGAGGAGGGAGTGAGCAAATCCAGGTAACTCAGCTCGTTTTCACCTGCAGTGTCCTGCTGCCCTCGGTGCCTTGTGAAACGGCAGCTTCCACCTCTGTCTCTTTCTCTCCTGGAACCTGAAGCTTAGTTTAAAAAGCAGCGAAGCACGGAACAGTGCGCTTGGAGCTCACAGCCGTGACCTCTGTGTACGGTGGACAGACCTAAGACGACCTCGTGGGGCAGGACAGGCAAATGTCTGCCCCCGCGGCTCGGCCGGCTGTTGCGGAGCGGCCCCGACCGGCAGCGGCCCCGCTACCTGGCCTCTCCCGTGTGAGCCGGCGCTTCGCGCTCTTCCTCTCGGGGCCTGGGCTTCCTCTGCAGCCCCTCATCCTGCCGTGTAGCTCATCCTCGCGCCCCCTCGGGGTCACAGCAATTCCTGTTTCCTTTCACGTTCTTTAAACTTCACTGTGTCGAGACCTAGTTTTTCTAATTTCGTGGCAGTAAGGAGGAAATGGCACATGGCTCTATCACGTGAACAGATTTTTAACAGAGCTTTTGAAAGATTAACTTTTCACTGTTTTAAACGGGCTAGTTGTAACTTTTACATAGTTTGTGAATAAAAATTTCTTAAGCAATCGTGCTGGCATTACCTCTCTTTTTCTGTGAACTGGGTGTCCCACGGCCGGCCCTTTGTAGAAGAATTTCCCCACCCACCCGGGGGAGGGGCAGGCAGAGTGTCCCCAGCTTGGGCATCGGGGTGGGTGCTGGGCTCCTGGCCACCCACGCGGGCCTGCTCTCCATCGTGTTCAGAGCAGTCAGGATGTGAGGGATCTGCCCTTGTGTAGGAACCTGGTGACGTGGGCTCTCCAGCAAGTTCCTGGTGGGTCAGAGGCCTGGCCTTTGGGGGGGAGCGTGGATATTAAAGGGGCGCCCCTTCCCCAGCCTCGTTCGTGTGGCCAAGAAGTCCTGGAGCCCAGCACTGACCTGGACGTGACCAGCACACTCCTGCCCATGGACGACCAAGTGACCGGGTGTGGCCGCTCCCTGCTGCCGGGCTGGCCGGACTGAGAGCCGTGGCTGGGGTGAATGGGCCTCTGTAGCTCGAACCATTAAGTTGGGTTCCTCAGATCCGAACTTCATGGATCTGGTGTCTCCGTGATTTATATGAAAATGCAGTAGCAATTTACTGCACCTACACGCACCCTGGCTCTCGTGGGCGGGAGCAGTGCTGCTGTCACCTGGCGCGCTGGTGAGCTGCGTGACGGCAGGTGCGGCCTGCTTGGTTCATGGTGCAGCGACTTCCCTGGAGACTGCGTTGGAAAAGTTGAGCGCAGCATTCAAGCAGAAAATACGCCTGATGGTTCATGGGAGTCAGGCCCTGGGTTGTGGTGCAGACTGGCAGCGTGGGAAAGGGGCTTAAAAGCCATGTCCTAAAAATCAAGAAAACCCGCAGGTCATTTCAAGTTTGCTTTAGAAATGTGTCTTTGGGGAGAAGTATTCCGAGGGGATTATTTCATCAAATGTTAGCTGGTGGCATGTGTCCCCCTTTGGTGGGGACAAGCCTCCAGGGCCAAGGGCCAAGTCTGGTGGGTGCAGATCTCAGGCAGGCGTACCTGCAGGCCGGGTGAGGCATGTAGGAACCCTGGGGTTGCCATGGCGTTAGGCGAGGGGGCCCACCCGAACCACGTGGGCAGTTCCTGAGACACTTAAGGACCAGCTGGGCTCCTGGGGCCCCGCTGATGTCAGCGGGGCAGGGTGGGGCTGACAGGCAGCCAGGTCTCTCCTGCTAGCATAGCAGGGAGCAAGAAGCTCGTGTCTCCAGCCAGCCAGCCCTCCCACCCCACTGCCGGCCCCTCCCTGGCCCAGGGCAGCCCAGCCAGGAGGGAGGTGGAGCCCAAGGACCAGCCGCTCACGGGGAGGGTTCTCCTCCGTGTGCCTGGCCAGCGCTCTGGCTGCGTGGCTCGGGCTGCCTGACCCGCTGCCCCAGGTGCCTGCTTGTCACAGGTCAGGTCTCTGCCGTCAGCCCAGGTCCCCGTCCAGGGCTCTGCCCCTGCTCTGCTCAGCCTTCCCTCAGGGGACCTGGTGACCCCCTGCTCCCCACCGCCAGATGTGCCTTCACCCTTGCCCTCTGAATCTCACTCCCCAGGGAGCTCAGGGCCTAGGCCACAACCCCCAGATGCAGTGGTGTAGACGCCCCCTACCCTGGCCCCATCAGGTCCCCCGAGGCCTGTCTCCTGGGTGACGTGGAAGCTCAGCCCATTAGACGGGTGAGCAGAGGCTCGGCACTCGCCCTTGACCTGTAGGCTGGTTACAGAGAGACCCTGTCGTAACCCCGTCCCCGTTCAGGGAGAACCGTAAGCTACCGTTTCTACCAGGAGGAACTTTCCCATCTTACAGACGAGAAAGCAGAGGCCTGGAAGCATTGTGCTGGCTTGCTGGCGGCTCACAGCTCAGTGACTAAGGAGGATTCGAGGCCTGGGTCGGCGCCATCCCAGAGGGTCTCCTGTGGGACTCCCTTAGAACTGGGCTGGAGGTGGGGCAGAGAATGATGGGAAACAAGAGCCCAGGGATTTTCTACTCAGAAAACCAACTTTTGCTCTGAAAGTGCTCACAGCCTGCGTGAAGGTTCGGGTCCCTCGGGTGGTGGGGTAAAGGAGCCGGGGTGAGATGGTAGGACTCCTTAGCCGCTGTGTGACCTTGGGCAAGTTACTTCACCTCTCTGTGCCTCAGTCTCCCCAGTTCAGACTAAAGAGGGTGGCCTGATCACAGTGCTCCTCTCAGCACCATCGTGGGCTGTGAACCGGAAGTCAGCACCCGGTGGGGCCTGGGGGTTCAGCGGCCTTAACTGCTTCCCCAGGAGTGGGAGGCTCTTGGGAGGTGAGCGGGAGGTTGGGCCGGGGTCTCCTTGACCTGGGAGGACTGGGAGGCAGCTGCCGCGGTGTCCCGCCAGCAGGTGGCGCTTCGGACCCGCCCGCTCAGCGACACAGACCGCGAGGAAGGGGCCTCCGTCATCGTCCACAAGGCGGGGACCGGGTGGGGCTGTGTCACCGGTCGCGGAGCTCGCCCGCGTGCGATCGCCTCCCTCCCTCCCTCCCTTGCGGAAAACATCAGTGCTCACAGTGGCCGGCACGTTCCAGACACTGGGGTGGAGCCGGGGGGAGGGGGGACTCAAGGGCCTGCCCCCCACGGCCCCAGCTCCCTCCCTCGTGGGGGTGGGGTGGAGTGTGGGCGTCGAGCAAGAGAGAAAGTATAATGTCGGGGAGCTGAGAGCACGGAGAAGAATGGAGCGGACAGAGGCGGTCACTGACGACACGTTTGAGCAGCCTGGCGCACGGGGGGCGGGTGGGGGGGGGGAGATCGGCGGTCTCTAGGGAGTGGCGGGCCGGAGCGGGAGGGGGCGCGGGCGCTCCAGCAGGTGGGGGCTAGGTGTGCAGTTGGGAGAGGGCCCCTGCAGGACCCCGACGGCATTACGTCACGCCGTCACGTCGCCAAGGATTCCTGCTCCTTGGGAACAGGCTCAGAAGCTGAGCTCTCAGCGCAGAAGTGTTGTTGCCCGTGGTCGTCACTCGCCAGCACAAATGCCAAATTGGGGTAAAAGAAAATTGAATTGCATTTCCCCACTTGTCACTAGAGAGGCAGCTTTACCCAGGATGTGCGTTTGCGCTCCAGGGCAAAGGACCCCGGCTCGCGGGACGGGGGTGCCAGGGGAGGAGCTCGGGGGCGACACTGCAGGATGATGAGTGGACAGGACGTCTGGGGTGTGTAAACGTGCCAAGGGGCGTGGGCAAAGAGGCTGGTGTGGATTAGTGCTGAGTTCATGGAGACCTAAGCGAGTAAAACCTGTTAGGACGCTTGTTACACTGAGGGGAACAAGGTTTTGCAGGAAGGGATTTGGCCGAGCTCTGAAGAGCGTTTACATAGATAGTCTTAACATGGAGACGGCGCGGCTCTAACTAAATTTGTGACGTGACGGCACTGGGAGGCGGGACGTAGGGGCCGGGGACGTAGGGGCCCGTGTTCTGAACAGACAGGGCGGTCACAGCCTGAATGTCAGCCACAGGAGTCGGGGCAGCAGGGGTGGGGCAGTGGCTGCTGTCCCACAGGCTGACAAGTCTTGAAACTGTGTGCACCTCACTCATTAAAACGACACAAGTTAGAGGAAGCAGGCAGTGCCCTTGGAATAACTGTTCAGGCAAATAATTTGCTGGAATCCATAGCGGCTCTCAAAGTCATCTCATCAGTCCCCAATTCTTGGCACGTCGCCCATCGTGGGGGGGGGGCTGACCTCCTCCCAGGGAGCTCTGGCAGCCCTGGGTGGAATGGGCGGGTGGCCAGGTGGTGGGGCTCTTGCTGGGCCCAGTCCTGCCCCTAAGACTCCCTGGTGCACCCCAGGCCCCGCACCAGAGTAAACAGCTCCACTAGTCTCCAGCTGCCCTGCCCCTGCCCCCTGGGAAAGGCTCTTCTGAACCCAGTCCCCAGAGGAGCTTGTACACCTTACTGTGTAATTACATATTTATGTGAGAAAGGAGAGGCCCTGAGGAGGGGGCACCCAAGGCGCTCAGAGAGACAGCGCAGAGCTGCAGAGCTGGACGGGTCCTGCCCCCTCCAGGTACCTGCACCCCCCCCCCCCCCGCTCTCCCCTTTCCTTTGGGTGGCACGGCCCCATGAGCAAGAGGTAGTCGGGTGGGAAAGGCATATCCCTAGGGCCACGTGCAGATATCGCGGTAGCAGGCCTCTGGCTAGGTGTTTTGCCCTCCGCAGAGCCCCTTGCCCACCTGCAGGTGCTACTCAGGGCGCTGTGGCCGGCGGGGCTCTTCACCCAGCCCTCAGCGCCCCGGCCGGCTGTTCAGGGGCATCCGGGCTGCCGTCCAGGCGGGGCCGAGGGATTCGGCGTTGGTTGGGCGCCGGTATGTGAGGACCGGAAGCAGAGCCCAGCCGGCCTGGGGGCTCACAGTCAAGGCTTTGGGGGTGCAGCAGCCAGGAGATGCTGCACCCTCAGATGGAAGTGGAGAGGCTGCCTGGGGGTGAGCGCAGAGGCCTGCAGCTCTTCCCAGGTCCGGGCCGAGCCCCTGGATGCCTCTGAGGGTAGAGGCCAGGCCTGGGGTCCTCCCTCCGCCCTGATTCTGTCAGCGGCCCCTCCTCCGAGCCCTGCCTCTCACTGCTCCTAGACGGTGGTGCTCATGGACCCCGGCGAGGACCCTGAGGACACACTGCACACACACCGGTCCCGGGAGAAGACCTTCATCTTCGACATCGTGTTCGACCAGCACACCTCCCAGGTGCCCGGCCCTACCCACCACCCCACGGCTCCGCTGGGCCAGGCCCGCCAAGGGTGTCCTCATGTGGGAGGACTTGGCGGCCAGGTGACCTCATCCGTGACGTCTCATGGGGTCTCCCTGATAAACGAGGAAGTTGGTGCCCTGGGTCACTCCAGGGACAGGTAGCAGACCCCTTCCATGGATGCCGGGGGCCGCCAGTTGCCCGGGCTTTACACGCATCCTCATTTATTCCTCTGTGTGTCCATGTGTCCGTCTGTCCACCCACCCATCCATCCAACAAAGCCGTGTCCTGTCCACCACGGGGCTAGAACACACTCCCTGCCCACAGGGGCTCACACCCCAGCCAGGGAAACAGGCCCAGCTCTCTGAGCAGACAGGTTTCTTCTATTGCCGAGATCTTAATGGTATCGGAAGTAGAAGGACCAGGTCATCGTCAATTATTGAGCAGCTATTGCATGCCAAGTGCTGTGCTTAAGTGCTTGTCACGCCTTGTCTTCCAAGCGTCACAGCAACTCTGTAAAATACACGGTGATATTATCCCCACTTTACAGGTGAGGTGCTGGCTTAAGGAGGTCAGCAACTGACCTGAGGTCACACAGCTAGAGAGCTGCAGAACCAGGACAAGGTCCCAGACAGTGTAAGTCCAAGGCTGGACGAAAGGAGCACCAGCTTTGGAGTCTGTCCAACCAGGGCTCAGATGCTTCTGGCTTGTGTCACCAGCCAGGGCTTTTGGGACAGTTAAGTGAGATGAAGAGCAGGCCCAGAGGGGGTTCAGGGAAGGCAGAGGAAGGGGGACTGTCCTTTCTCTCCAGTCCAGCCAGACACCCATGCCCTCAGACACCAGCCCTGGAGGTGTCCTTCCTTGAATACCCCTGTGGACAGGGAGCTCACTACCCACACACTCCTACCGCTACATACTGCTGCCCTAAATGAAATTCCGCCAGCCCGAAACTTTCACTCCCTGGTCCTAGTTTTGTCCCGTAAGAGGAGTCATAATGCCCTTCCCGGATTCCCCAACCCCGTCACTACTTTCCAGTCCTTTGCATTCTTTTTGATTTCTCTCAATTCATGCAGAAGCCCTGGAAAGGACTCATACCTGTTTGGTACCAAACCTGTCAGGCCTCATGGTGGGAGTTATCACTTACATTCTCGTGCGATCCTCCCTCACCGTGGTCTCACCGTGGGGCTCGGCGTGGTCCAGGCGGCTGCAGGACTGGGGTGGGGCTCGTGCCGTGGCTGTGCTGGCTGCCACCGTGGAGGTCCCTGTCCGTGTCCAGAGGGAGCAGGGCGTTTGCAGGCGCCACACACCTGTCCTCTCCAGACAGCCAGGTGCCCAACTCTGGTCGGAGTGTGCATTTGCCTGTCTTCCTTCCGTCTGTCCGCAGGAAGACGTGTACCTTGCCACCCCCCAGCACTAGTGGAAGGCGTCATTTCTGGATACAACGCGACGGTGTTTGCCCACGGCCCCTCAGGTGCTGCCAAAGGCCGGTGTCCCCCGGAGGGAATGAGGTTGGTGGCAGCGGAGCTCTTCCTAACAGCACAATGCACCTCATATGTGCTGGCCTTGCACTGGTCCCTCTGCATCCGTTGGTTCCTTTGGTTCTTTCAACAGCCCTGAAAGGCAGGTAGAACGATCCCCCTGTCACAGATGAGAAAACTGAGCCTCAGAGAGGTAAAGGGACTTCCCCAAGGTTACACAGCTGGTAGGAGTGAGTGTGGAACTCAACCCAAGCCTACACTTTTCTGCCCATGAAAACCGCAGATTTCTCCTCTGCAGTTACAAGTTGGGGTCAGCAAACACTCGCGAAGCTAAGCTACCTCTCTGCCTGAAAACTAGAATCACAGAGGGTCAGAGCTGGACGGGCCTTAATCCCCTCCCTATACAGGTGGGGAAACAGGCCCTGAGAAGCCTGGTCCGAAGTCACAGCTTGTTTATGGCATTCATTCTTTCTTTCTTTCATTCAACAAACATCAGGGAGCACCTGCTGTGTGCTATGCTCTAGCAAAGGAAGAGGGCCATCTGGTCCCTCCTACAGGGCGAACCGGGAAGGAGGAGGTGAGGACCCCATGAAGCGGGACTGCTTAGAAAGCTTAACACGCACGTTAATTCTCCTATTACGAGAACAACACGCACACCTTAAAGCGAATTTGGAGAGAAGTGCAGACATCTCTCGGGCCTCCCTCCTCTGATACTGTCTGCATCTTCGCTTTGTATCCTCCCGCTTTCCCTGCCCAGGTTTTCTTCCCCAGAGTAGCCATCAGGCTGTTCAGACAGGATTTTTTTTGTTCTTGTTTCCAAAATGGAAACTGAGCATGTCAGAGCAGCCAGGGCGGTTTGCACAGTACAGGCGGCAGGTGTGACCAGGCTCCGAGGGGGCCGGAGCCCAGATCAGGAGCCCTGCTTTGGTGGGCATCCCGTGCCTCCCGCAGGTGCCAGCAAGACCCACACGATGCTGTGCATGGATGCGGGGCCCGGCATCTACCTGCAGATGCTCACTGACCTCTTCCAGGCCATCGAGGAGACCCATGACAGCACGGACTGCAGCGTGTCCATGTCTTACCTTGAGGTGAGCCGCCCACCCCCTCGGCTGCCCTGTCTGCAAAACGGGCCTGATCATGAGTGCAAAACCCCACCTGTTACCCCAAGGGCCCCCCAGCCTGTGGGAAACCTCAGGGCATCCCAGACTTCTCTGGAGATGCAAAGCCCCAGTGATAGGTAAGCCCCTGTACTTCTTTTGCATCAGACCTACTGCTTTCAGTGTTTCTGTCTCATCCCAGATTTATAACGAAGTGATCTGGGACCTCCTGAACCCGTCCTTAGGGTTTCTGGACCTGCGGAAAGATTCTAGGGGCAGCATCCAGATTGCAGGCATCACGGAGGTCTCCACCTCAAACACCCAGGAGGTGAGGGTCACGGGGGCCCACGGAGGGACCTGTGGCTCCTCCACGGCAGCCACGCTCACCAGTGCTCACAGAGCGGAGCCAGACACACGGCTCCAAAGCTGCTTTCGAGCTAAAGGAACAGCAGACTTCTGCACCACGTCCCCACTCTCCTCACCTGTGCTCAGGGCAGACATCACCAATGGATCACGCACTCTTCCCTCTGCATCCAGACGCAGGTGGGGATTCTTTTTTGGCAGCACTCCAGGCAGTCGCAGTCAGAGTCGGCTTCAGGTCTGAAATCCGTTTGCCATCTTGATCCTAAGTCTGGCTCCCATAACGAGGGCGAGCTGTAAACATTTCTGCAGCCCTCTGTCTTTCTCTCTCCCTCCAGTCTCTCTCTGTGCAGCCCTTGGGGTGGGCCTTCCGTCTGCTCAGAACATTTCAGAGGCTCCCAGTTGCCTCTGAACAGCATGGACTCCTCGGCCCCCAGGCCCTGGATAACCGTGTGCTCTAGCCATGCTGGCGTAGGCATGAGGCCACCTGCGCTTAGCACCGTCCCTCATGGGTTCCAGGTGCAGGAGGGGAGACTTCTTGCCTATTCTTTAATAACAACAACCATATGAGTCTCTCTCCACAATGCTCTGTGGTCCTAGCATGCCTGGCACACAGTAGGTGCCCAGCAGAGGCTCACTGGCTTGATTTCCACAGCTGCTTGCGCACAAGTGGATTTCAGGCCACCCGCCAACTCCAGCAAATCTGTACAACTGCCTGGAGTTCCATATGGAAAAGGGCTCGGTGGGTTAGAGATGGGTAATCCATTGGTGATGTCTGCCATGGGTAGAGGAGGCAGAAGTGGTGCTATAAGTGTCAACAATCTGCCATTCCTGCTGGATTAGTTGACTCAATTAATTAATCTCTTCATGCCACAAACCAGAAATTGCTTCCACTGGATGCGGTTCTGCCATCAGCATCCCAGCTGGGGAAGAGCTGCCCTAAGGAGCTCGGGAGGGCACGTCTCCTTCTCTTGTTCTTCAGGGAGCGTGTGGCCACTCAGGGGCCCTTGACTGTCTGCCCGCTTCTGCCTCTGTCCTCAGACCATGCAGCTCCTCACCAGAGGCAACTGGCAGCGCACACAGGAGTCCACCGCCACCAGCAAGATGTCGTCCCACTCCCACGCCATGCTACAGGTCACTGTGCACCGGCGCAGCCACGGCACAGACGTGGCAGAGGAAGTGCACATTGGGAGGCTCTCCATGGTGGACCTGGCGGGCTCGGAGCTGGCGTCTCAGGTTCCTGTCCTCTTCATCTCCGTTACTCGCCTTGTGTCCATCTGCCCTTTAGTCTGGGAGCAGGACCCTGTCTGTCCTTGTTGCACACTGTCTCCAGCACCTAGGACAGCACCCGGTCGAGGGGAGGTGCCCGCTACACGTCTGCTGAGTGAATGAATTCTCAGCAGGTATTGGGGGTCACTCCCGCGGAGCCAGTATTTATGGAGGGCTTCCTGTGTGGCAGGCTCTCCCGGGCACCAGGGACGCGAAGATGAGCGAGCCCCAGACCCTCACCCTTGAGGGGCTCAGAGCCTCTGGGGGCGGGCGGGAGACAGATGTGTAGCTGGTAATTACAGCACGGGGAGGCCTGTGCCTTGAGATTCGGGGTCACACAGAGGCTGTGGAGCCCAGAGGAGGGTGGGGCCTCAGGGCTGAGCCTGAAAGGTCATCAGGAGTTTGGTGGCTGGAGGGAGCAGCGTGGCGGGGGTGGCTGTCAGGACGCCCTCCCAGGACCTGCCTCCTGCGCCCGCGCCCCTGGCTCGCTGTTCTTGTCGCACCTGCGGCTGGGAGTGAGGCCTGTGCTCACCGTGGCCCCAGGGGCCGGAGCAGTCTTTGCGGACAGGACCCAGCCCAGCGCCAGGAACAGAGAAGGTGCCTGATGGAGGCCAAGTCAGAACAGCAGTAATGGTATCAACAAGGGACATTCTCACGTCCCTCTAATGCGCCAGGCACTTCGTGTTCATCATCCACCTAAGCCCCCGACACCTGGAGGGTAGGCGGCCTCGTGCCTGGTTTACAAATGCCCGGCTGAGACTTGGGGTGGTGTGATTGCGCCTGCACAAAGGTATCGGGTGGATCCGGCCTTTGGACCTGGAGGGATCTGGCCCAGGTCCGTGCCTTTCACTGATGACATTTGTCCTCCAGTTTGCAGGCTACGCTGTGAGTCCTGGGGGTTTGTCAGTCATTGCATTGCTTCATTCAGTCACTCATTCATTCACCTGCCCTGCACCTGGCCCTGCCCTGGGTGCCTGGGCTGCTGAAAGGAGCAGAGCCTGGCCAGCTGGCCCAGAGGCCAACAGGTTCAATGTATTGTGTTAATATGGTATGAAATTTGAGGTACAGTGAGGCCAGCAGATCAGAAGATGACTGCCATTGAAGAGATAGCTTGCTACTCACAGGTCCCAAGAGGAGGGGGCAGGAGAAGCCAGGCCGGGCCACACGGGGAAGCACCAGGGTTGGTCTGGAGGCAGAGGGAACAAGGGGAAGACACGGGCCAGAGCCTCTCTCGTGACTTCCATGGGAAGGCAGGCTGAACACTGGCCAGTTTGAATAATTCCAGCAGGCTCTGGGGCACAGGGCCCATCCCTGGTTGTCTGGTTCCTGTCCTGGGTGATGAGGGCAGGTAGACAGTGGCCCAGAGTGTGGGAGCCCCAAGGAGGAGGGGGTGGGGTGAGGGCTCTGGGTTGGCTGGTTTGCTTTTGAAAGGTGTGCTCACGGGTGACTTGTTTGTTATCAGAAGGAACTGGCAACCCTGGGAGGGGCAGCAGGGCCCCAAGATGACAAAACATTAGGATGCAGAAAATAAAAGACATGGTTCATACACAGACAGATGTGGGTACAGACAGTTTCATGTAGACCAAGCCGAGTGAGATGGAGCCCTGGGAGTCTGCCCGTGCCAGCTGGACTTGGCCATGTGCTCAGGGAGCAAGGTGGAGACCAGCCTCCTCAGATCTTAGCTCTTGGGGAGGCCATTGGACAGGGGTTCAGGCCCTAGGTTCTTGTTCTCCCTCTGCTCCAAATAGCTGTCTGCCTTTGGTCAGGCCCCTGTCCCTCTCTGGGCCTTGGTTTTTAAGCTGTATACTCAGGTGGCCTAGCGGGCTGTCTTCAGGTCTGGTTGGCTATCACAGTCTGTCATTTCTTCATAGAAAATCACTCACAGAAGAGTTTGTTCCAGGGCACAAGGCCTCTGAGAAAACCCCCGAATTCTGGGGCACAGACACGTGACACGTGAGCAGCTGCCATGGCCTGGGTCATGCCGGCAGCTCCCACTCAGTGAAAGTAGCAGCTCACGTTCGCTGCTCGCTTCTGTGGGCCCATCTCTGAGCTGCTCGCTTCTGTGGGCCCATCTCTGAGCTGGCCTCTTACACACGTTGCCCGCCAAATCCTCACCATGACCACAGCAACTGCCTCTTTTGACAAATAAGGAGACTGAGACAGGCTGGGAGACCTGTCTGAGATGTCATTTAAGCCGTTCTCAAGCCGTGCTCCAAACTGGCTCTAAAACCCATGTCCCTTAAAGAGAAAACGTTATTTTCCTTGCTGATTTCAAATGTAACCAAATCAGTGCAGAAAATATGGAAAATATGGTTAAGCCAAAGGAAGAAAGTTAAAGTCCCCACAACGCCTGCACTGAGAGGCAGTCATCCCAGTGGCAGTTTGGCGTGTGTCCTCCTAAGGCCCCTGCAGGCATCTTTATACATTTGTTCAGTGCTCAGACATCCAGCCACACTGTGGGCCAGACGCCTGCCGGTGTCCAGGCTCTGGGGACAGATGGCCAACCAAGATGACAGCTCCGTCATGGAGCTTAGGTTCTGTGGGGAGCAGTTAGGGAAACAACAAACGCATACAAGAGCAAGGTAGTTGCCGAGAGAGCTAAGCAACTTGAAGGAAATATACAGGGTAGCATGTACCCCCGTGGGGTGAGGGGCCCCAGGAGGACCGCTAGGCTGAGACTGGGAAGACAAGAAAGCTTCGGCGTGGGGGGACGTTCTCGCGAAAACACGTGCGTTCGTATTTTTATCATAAAAAGGGAACTGTTCTGCCCAGGCATCCGTCTGAGCCCTTTTTCATCTCACTTCACAGAGAGCATCTTTTCAACATTGGTAAACAGCTCTACCTCACCCCGTTTCCTGGCTGTGTGGTATTCCACTGCAGAATCTGGTGTCGTTTCTGTCTCCAGTCCCTGGGCTGTGGGAGTGTAGTCAGGGCGTCCACCCTGAGCCTCCCAGGGTGGGGTGGGGTTATCGCATCCTCTGGACCACAGTCCCCTCCCCCTGGGGCCTGGGGTGGGGAGGTGGCGAGGTCGGGGGGGAGGACCACCTCCCCGTCAGCTGGCTTCTTCTCACTCAGACCCAGAACCGAGGCAAGAGGATGAAGGAGGGCGCCCCCATCAACCGCTCCCTGCTGGCGCTGGGCAACTGCGTCAACGCACTCAGCGAGAAGGGTGGCAGCCAGGCGCAGCATGTGAACTCCCGGGACAGCAAACTCAGGCGCACCTGCTGAAGGTATGAGCCCCTGGCCAGAGACAGGCGTGGCTGCAGCATCTGACTGCATCTTTCAGGATTTACCTGGGCCTAAGGGCCCTTCCAGAAACCCCTGAAAGCAGGAAAATCTCTGCTTTATCTGGCGAAATCATCTCTAGTCACTGCTCGAATCCCCCTCCATCCCTCTGAGTGTGGTCCAGCCCATGCTTGCACACTCCCAGGGACAGGAAGCTCACTACCTCACCAAGGCTGCCTGTCTCATCACAGATGGTCTGAGAAAATTCCTCTTCATACTGAGCTGAATGCTGTCACCTCTATTCTACAGCAAGGCAGGGTATAGGTAAACAGATAGGCAAAGCAACAAATAAATGGCTCTGTGAGTTTGGCCTCTCGGTCTAATCTACCTGCATCAGAGTGGAAGTAGGATGGGGCGGGCCTACAGCAGGTCCATCTCAGCCTGTGCGTCACCTCCCTGAGCATTGACCCCTTGGTCCAGCCTCAGCTGCCCTTCTCAGGGTTTGGAGCAGGAACCCCAGATGGGCTGGTCCAGAGGAGCCCGGGACAGGTAGCGGAGGGATGGTGCCCCCAGGCAGGTGGGAACCCTGGTTCCCACCATCCCCAGCTCGCGCCTTCCACTGAGAAGGATGCCCTGGGAGGGAACAGCCGGACGGTGATGACTGCCCACATCAGCCCAGCCAGCACGCACTTCAGGGAGGCGCGGACCACCCTGCTATATACATACCGAGCAGGGAGGTGTGGACACCCTGCTATACGTGTACCGAGCAGGGAGGCGCGGACACCCTGCTATACACGTAGAACCAAGAACGTCAAGAGGACGGTGAGCCGCGCCCTCCCACCTTCCCTCACCCGCTCCCTCTGTTACTCTCCCGCCTGCTCACTGAGTCCTACAGCTCTCCCTCCAGAGGCTCTAGGGGAGGGTCCCTCCCAGCTTGCATGGCTCCTGGCGCTTGGCTTGTGGCCACACCCCTCCAATCTCTGCTCCGCCTTCCCTTCCTCCTTGTGCTCCTCTCTTTCTCCTCTTTTATGAGGGCAGTTGGCATTGATTTGAGGGCCCTCCCTAATCTGGGATGATCTCATCTCAAATCCTTAATTACATCTGCAGAGACCCTTTTTTCCAAATAAGGCCACATTCACAGGTTTCAGGGAAAGGACTTGTCTCTGCCTGGCACCACTGTAAGCTCTCACTGGGATCTGATTTACTTAATTCTCAGCAACTGGCTCCCTAGGAGGTAGGTCCTACTATTATCCCATCTTACGGAGTGGGCAGCTGAAGCACAGAGAGATAAAGCAACTTCTCTAACCTACCACAGCAGGGTCAGAGCTGGTGTTGGGGCCCAGGGAGCCTGGCTCCAGAGCCCATGCCTCACACTGCCATGCTGTTCTGTCTACACGGCTGTACTCAGTGTAAAGGATTCATCTCTCTCTTTTTTTTTTTTTTCGGTACGCGGGCCTCTCACTGTTGTAGCCTCTCCCGTTGCGGAGCACAGGCTCCGGACGCGCAGGCTCAGCGGGCACGGCTCACGGGCCCAGCCGCTCCGCGGCACGTGGGATCTTCCCGGACCGGGGCACGAACCCGTGTCCCCTGCATCGGCAGGGGGACTCTCAACCACTGCGCCACCAGGGAAGCCCAAGGATTCATCTCTTAAGGCTGTGTGACACTCAATGAGATAATGCACATTAGCGACTTAGCACAGGAGTGAGTAGTGGCCAACATATGATAGGTGTTATTTTATTATCATGATTACCATTTGTCGACAGACAAGGGATGAGCCCTTCCCGATGTCCAGCTCTGAGCGAGGCGCCACCATGAAACCATCACCAGCATTAGCACCAGCATCATCAGAGCTTCTGCTCCCGCACGAGCCCTGAGCTTAGCAGAGGAGAAGGCAGCTAGGAGACAAGAACCCACACAGGTGAGTGTTTCATTTCCAACTGTGGCAAGTGCTCTAAACGAAAGCCACAGGGCGCCGCAAGGAACAGTCACAGAGAAGGCCGAGTTTAGAGGGGTCTTCCACCAAGGGGGACTGACTCCTGCAAGGGAGCTGAGCTCCGAGCGCTAAAGAGAGCGTGTCTGTGCAGACTGAGGGCCAGTGTGCACATCTGGTGAAACTTAAGTGCGTGCGCCCTGCGGCCAGCAATGTCACCTTCCACATCTACCAAAGAGAAACTCAGACCCACGTGCTCAGGGAAGTTGTGTCACAGGAAAGCCCCAAAGTGCCCGTTGAAGAGGAGGGGACAGCTGCCTGCTGTGTCCCTGTTCCGGCCCCGCTCTGCAGCTGTTACAGACAATGGGGTAGACCCATCTGTGCAGACGGACAGCCTCTAAGACACATCGTTGGACCAGAAAAGCAAGTAAAAGTACAGCAGCTACAGTCTGATATAATTTACGTAAACCCCCCAAAGCTGAACCCACACCCCCAAAACTCCCCACGTGTATCTCTCTAGATACCTGTATATGTATAAAACCGCACAGAGAAAGATTCGGAAGGGCACACACCAAAACGGTAGCAGTGGTTACCCACGGGGAGGGTTTTCAAAAACCTCTTCGTGGATTGTTTGAATTTTGGGTTTTTTGTGGCAAAATATACATAACATAAAATTCACCCCTTGAACCATTTTAAACGGCCCAGTTCGGTGGCATTGAGCACATTCACATTTTTGTGCGACCATCCCCACTGCCCGTCTCCAGAACTTTCATCTTCCCAAACTGAGACTCTGCCCCGATTAAACACCGACTCCCTCCCCTCCCCCACTCCTGGCCCCACCCCCTACTTCCTGTCTCTGTGACCCTGACTCTCCCAGGGACCACACATGTGGATCATACGGTGTTTGTCCTTCTGCTTCTGGCTTATTTCACTTTTCATCATGTCCACCCATGTTGCAGCAGGTGTCAGAATCTCCTTCCCTTTTAAGACGGAATAGCACTGATTTACATTTTCCTGACGAAACGTGCTTGCGTCTTTCTGGCATAAATCCATTGGGTGACAGGTGTCCTTCGCGGGGCAGCCAGCTGGCCCTGACCTTGGCCGCGTCCCGCCACCAGGTCAAGCGCAACCTGCTGAACGTGTCCTACCACATCGCGCAGTACGCGGACGTCATCTCCGACCTGGGCAGGCAGATGAAGCACCCCGAGGCCAAGGTGGAGAAGCAGGGGAAGGAGAAGAGAAGCATCCCAGCGGCCGGGATGCTCAAGGTAGGGCCGTACACGCACGCAGTGCCTCCTGCTGCTGGGCCATCCGGGACACCAGAGGCCCACTGCGCCCTCCTGCCCTTCCTGGAGCGGTTTCTGCACTGAGCACCCCACCCGGGGCGACCGCCGAGCCCGGCCTGGCCTTTTTTTAAAACATATTTTATGTATTTATTTTTTTGGCTGCGTCGGGTCTTAGTTGCCGCACGCGGGGTCTTTCGTCGTGGCACACGGGCTTCTCTCTAGTTGTAGAGTGCAGGCTCAGTAGATGTGGCGCGCGGGTTTAGCTGTCCTGTGGGATGTGGGATCCTAGGTTAACCAGTGGCCACCAGGGAAGTCCCCCGTGGCCTCAGGGAGCAGCCGTCTCTCTGCTCTCTTCTAATCTCTTCCTTCTTATCTTTCTTCAGCTTTTCTTCTTGCTGCCTATTTTTTTTTTCCTCCCAAATCAGTTTTTTTTTTTTAATCTTTTCATTTTGGAATAATTTTAAATTTAGAAAAATTGGCAAAGATACTACAGAGTTCCCAGCTTCCCCTAATGTTAGCGTCTAGGGTCTTCCAAAAAAGTGCATTGAGGCAAAACTCACACAACATAAAATTCACCATCTTAAAGCAAACCCTTCGTTCAGCACATCCACCGTGTTGGGCAGCCGCTGTTTCTGTCTTGTTCTGAAACGTTTCCACCCCAACGTGAAACCCATGCCCGCTAGGCAGCTTCTCTCCATCCTTCCCTTCTCCCCAAATCGGTTTGATCTAGGCCTCCTTTTGGGGTAGAGCACACCATAGTTTTACCCTAAAATTAATCAGTAAGTTTAAAAGGTGCCCATAAAAAATATCTGTAACGAAGACAAGTAAACATATGTACACACACACACACACACGTTCTTTTGGCTTATTAAGATAAGTTTTGGCATAGTAAATAAAGGATTTTTGAAAATCAATAAGAAAGAACCAACAGCCCAATTTAAAAATGAGGGTGAGGAATAGGCAATTCGGAGAGTTTCTAGTGGCCATAAACCTAGGAAAAGATTCTCAATTGCATTAGGAAACAGAGATACAAACTGAAACAATTTTCACTTATTGGACTGGCTAAAATTAAAATGTCACGTAGCATTAAATGGATAATATAAAATAAAGTATGGAAGGCAGCCTTAACCACTATTATTGGGAGTCTAAATGAACACTTCTCTTTGGAGTCTGTTTTACCTGCATCTTTTCAAACTCTAAGTGTATGTGTTCTGTGCCCAGCAACTTCCCCCACATCTACCAGGAGACGCATGTGCTCACACGCCCATCAAAGGGGATGGGACAAGCTAACTGGTGGGTCCCTCCTATGGATCACCCTGCAGGTGCTACAGAGAATGGGGCAGACCCATCTGTGCAGATGGACAGCCTCCAAGACCGTTGCTAGATGAGAAAAGCAAGTTAAAGCATAGCAGGCATAGCCTGATATAATCTACCCACCAGGAAACCCACATATCTCATTAGATACAGTTATATGTACAAAACTGCACAGAGAAAGATCCGGAAGGGCACATGTCAAAATGATAGCAGTAGTTACGTGTGGGTGGGGGACTGGGGTTGGGGGGAGGGCAATCAGATAGATGATCAAGTCTTGATGTATTATTCGAATTTTTATTACCAAAACGTGTTCCTGTATTAGATGTGTAAATACATCATATTCAAAACGTTTCCTGATTGTTATAGTAATATGTGTTTATCATTCAAAACTTGGAGTATGCTGCAAAGTGTAAGAAGAAAATAGAACTCACTCATAATCCCACAACTTGGAGATACCATTGTTAGATTTAGCTATTTCCTTCCAGTCTCTTAAATAAATCCGTACACACATGCACAGCAAAATTGGGAGCTGGGGGGACTTCCCTGGTGGCGCGGTGGTTAAGAATCCACCCGCCAGTGCAGGGGACACGGGTTCGAGCCCTGATCCGGGAGGATCCCACATGCCACGGAGCAACCAAGCCCATGCGTCACAACTACTGAGCCTGCACTCCAGAACCCAGGAGCCACAACTACTGAGCCCACGCACCACAAGTACTGAAGCCCATGCGCCTAGAGCCCGTGCTCTGTAACAAGAGAAGCCACCGCAATGAGAAGCCCACGCACCGCAATGAAGAGTAGCCCCCACTCTCCACAACTAGAGAAAGCCTGCACGCAACAAAGACCCAACACAGCCAAAAATAAATTAAAAAAAAAAAAGTTGGGGGTTGGGATCAGGCAATGTCACACATTTAATGAGTACCTACTATGTAACAGGTGCATATCAGTGTTGGAGATGCAGGGAGGGAACGAGCCATACACAGACCTGGTTCAGAGTCGTCCAGCAGAGGAACTGCACATGCAAAGGCCCTGGGGTGGGAGTGGGTTTGATGAGTTCAGGGAGCAGAGGGCCGCCCATGTGGCTGGCACCTGAGGAGAGGTGCATGGTGGGAGCTGAGGCTGGAAGACGTTGAACAGGGGCCTGGGTTTATCCTGACTGTAACGGGAGGCCAAGGAGACCTTGAGCCGGACAGCAATGTGCCAGGAGCCCCCTTGAGCTGTGTATTCGAGAAGTGGAAATGAGATTACTCACAGGGCAGGTGGGGGATTCTCCACGGCTGGGGTTTTGTGTGGAGACCATGACAGGAGTTGAGGAGGAGGCCAGGAGTGACCACAGTGGTCAACTGTGGACACCACGTAGAGGAGGGAAGTAGAAAGCGCTCACACTTTTGTTACGAGGATTCTCCAGTACTCACAGAAGGAGGAAGAGCAGTAAAGCGAGCCCTCGTCACCCACTCTCCAGGCCTTGTTTCTTCCCACGCACTTCCCTCAGCCTATTATCTTGAAGCAAATTTCAGTCATTATATCATTTCATTCATAAGTATTTCAGCCTATAATCCCTAAAGAATAAAGGCTCTTTACAAACACATAACAACAGTATCATTTCCACACCTTAAAAAATATTAACAGGGCTTCCCTGGTGGCGCAGTGGTTGAGAGTCCGCCTGCCAATGCAGGGGACACGGGTTCGTGCCCTGGTCTGGGAAGATCCCACATGCTGCGGAGCGGCTGGGCCCGTGAGCCATGGCCGCTGAGCCTGTGCGTCCGGAGCCTGTGCTCTGCAACGGGAGAGGCCACAACAGTGAGAGGCCCGCGTACCGCAAAAAAAAACAAAACAAAACAAAAGAGATTTCTGACATCGCTTAGATTGTCGGAAAGTTGAACACCTATTGGCT